GGCTCCACTTGCTACGTGTGGAATGCACAGGATCAGTCCAGACTCAGAAGAGGAGCCTTAGAAACAAAAACAAAGCTGTTTGACGTTTGGGCTGATTGGCAGGTCAGAACTGGAGAGGGCAAAAAAAAGTAATGATTCAGAACAGCAGAGAAAATGCCTCCATAGCTTTGCTTCAAAAGTCCAAAGTAATGTGCATAAGTTTATTGTCCAGGTACCACTAAACATTTGACAAGACGGCACCTATACTGTCTTTCAGGCTTTCATGTTGAATGTAATTAGATTGACTTTGCTTTCCTTTGTACCTCGTTCAAAGGTGCTTGTGTGAAAAAGAAAGAACAGAGACTTTGTTGAGCTGCCTTACATAAACAGTTAATTTTGTACAGATGGACCATATTTTGTATATATTTGTACATGTATGAACTCATTTTTTTTTTTTTTATTTTGTAATTAAAAATACAAGTCTGTAGTTTTTTAGACATTTCGTCAGCAAGGGGTGTTTGCCTTTAAATAGAAGAGCCAGGTACTGAGCCTCTTATTTATAACACTGTAGTATTTCTTAAATAAAAAGATGCAAATATAAAATATGATTTTATTACTTTGAGTGCTTATTTATGCTGCACTAACTAAATCTAACAACAAACATGTTTTCACCATAATAGCTGATATATATTTATTGCTTAAGGGTGCACTGTGGTGGAGGATCCACCATATGCTTGTCTCCATGAAGATGCCATTGCTTTATAAAAAAAAAAAAACCTAACAGAATACAGAGCACCTTTAATATTTAATGTAAATCACCTTTACAAAAGCATACATATTAAATGCTCAATACACATTTTTGTTTAGTTTAGTTTAGTTTTAATTCAGTCACAAAAACATGAAAACTTACTATCATACAAACTTATCAAAAAATATTAAACAATATTTTAACTCATTTTCTAAAATGAAATGAGAGTCAGCACACCATATGGTGGAGCAATAGTAGTCAAACATAACCAGCAACTGAAGGTTCAAAACAAAGTGGAGTGATATTCTGGCCATATAAAGAACACAGCTTTTTGTGACTAGCATACTGCATTAATGGCTGAAACTTCAAATCTATAACAGCACCTTTACATACACAAATTTTAATCATTTTGGATTTACTATTCTAGTTTATGTACGGCTCTACTCTTAAGTGCATAACTCTATGTGAGAGTTAAATCCAGGCACAAGGCTTCCCAGTGTGTACTGCACACACTCAGAGCTTTTGTCCTGAGAACTATTGTCTCTCTCTTCCTGAGAGCACAGTGAATTTCCTGTCACTCCTTAACCTGCAAATAAAGGCCTGATCTCTTTCTATAGACATAACCGTCAGTAACATTGGCCCATAAGTCAGTTACAAAAAAGTAACAAATATACAAATACATTCAGAAGAATCATGCTGAAAGGCAGTTTCTGAGATTATGGCAAAACCCAGTCTTCACCCGTTTCACTCACGTCTCCCTTTCATCACAGAGGGGGACTATTTTTGCGCACAGAACCATTGTGTCCCTGAGTCCCATGTTTATAACACTATTACACACTCACAGTGATCCCCTTCAAATGATACTCATGTACAAACATGAGTTTTTACCCAAATCCAAACCACCAAAAAGCATTTGCTTTCAAGACACTGAATACACAGTAAGATTGTGTGGTTGTCAACGGTAAAGCTTTTTTTTCTCATCATGATTTTTAGATTTAGTAATTATGTCTTCCACTATTCCCAGAGAGACAGAACACAGCATTTGATTTAGTCTTTGGAGTGAGCACCACAGCTCCATTCAGAGTCAGGAGACAAGTTAGTGGGAGTGTCTTGGTCCACTAAATTGCATGTACAGTAGGTCCTTCATAAGCAAGATCTTCTTCATGCTCCAGGGGTCCCAGCTGGACCCATGAGTGGATCTCCACCCTCCAGAGCATCCTGAATTGGGGTGGCCTCTTGCTCTGCAGTAATAACTATAGTGTTTTCATCCACGAGCTCACATGTGGGGTTAGAGAATGCAGAGAGGGGCAGACTGATCCTCTGCATCTCACGTTCATATGCTCGCTGTTCATGCTGCTTCTTCAAGTCTCTACCCCTAAAACACATTGCACAGTACAGTATGTCATTATACTGATGCTACCTGACCTTGCTTGTTAAGATTAATTTAGTCCTTTATTGTCTGTCCTGCTACTATAGAGCAAACAGTGACTCAATATAATAACATAAAAGTAGTTAAATCATAGTCAAACACATATGTCTTCGAGTGTATAAAATATGATGCATCTGCATATAATTCATAATCATAACTAAAATAGGAATCATCTAAATAGACAGTTTATCGGCTTTGACAGCTGCATAGAAATCCATGTAGCATTGTGTGCTAAGCCTAAGGGAACATGTCCTCACTGTTTCACTGTTCTAAAGCCAAAGTTTTGTTGTTTACATAATTGTGTACAATTAGCAGTGCTACCAGCAAAATCTGCTCTCAACACTCCTTCCATGAAAAGCTCTTTTATGTCCTTCCTGCTTGTCTAACTAAAGACTTAGTAAAGTACCATTGCTCATTTGGGATCACCACAATATAATCTTAAAGGATCTGATAATTATGTTATACAATATATAGTGTTTTTTTACCTTTTGTAGAAGTAGCCCACAGTGATGCCTGCACCAAGGATAATTATGATAGCCATCATGAGGATGCCCAGCACATAGCCTTAGAAGACAAAAGAGCTAGTTACCCACACCTGCCATGTCAAAGAGTGTTACCAACCAAGACAACTAGTTAATAAAGTAACAATCACAAAATGACAGAACTGGTTTGTAAATAAAGTAACAGATAGTATGGTTGAGTTTATGGAAACATGATTTAAAGACACACATACCAGTAGTGCCCAAATCTTTCTTTTTTTGGGGGCCTTTCCGCACTCTTTGGCTGACTCCCAGAACAGATGGCCCCTCAGCCCCTTCACCTGCAGAGGAGCCCATCCTGTTGGTGGATGGAGTGATTTCTGTTGGGCGAGGGGACCCAGCCTCCAGTGCTACAGCTGTAGCTAGGCCTGGACATAAAGACACAGACAACCTTTTTAATTATTATGTTTAAAGTTGCATTTACGTGAATTGTAAGTAGTCATGAATATTCATTTCATTGATATTCTGTAACATTTTACTATTATTGTATGCATCTTATTCTTATTCAAGAGAATTTGGGACACTTTATGTCAATAAACTGGCCTTGAGGCCTTTAGAATAAACAGTCCCTGTACAACTAAAACAAATGGTATTTAGTCATAATAAAGAAAATAATAATAATAATATCTTAAAAATCCACAGATTACAACAGTTTAAACTCACCCAAATCCACCTATTGTACCTAAATACATAAAAGGTTTTATGTTCCCACATTGCTTTGACTGAACCATGTGGGTTTCCGTTTCACTCAGTTTAATAACATTAACACTAAGTCTACAGCAGACAGAAGGTGCTGAGGTCGCTCTTACGCATATATTACTTAGTGCTCAGTGGGAGAGTGAAGCGTATATGATTTGTAACATGTGCCAGAAGCAGCCAGAACATGCATGAGTTTATTTTAGAAGGAGGCAGGAAAACTCCACAGGAACATCTGCTCTTTTACTCTTTTTCCATCACGCCAGTTTTGGCTGTTGTTTACAAACTCATTGAATGTTGAAGGGCATGAAGACAAATGAGCAGCCAACTACCTGCTGTTTCTATGGGAAGACTTTCCCTTTAAGCCAATCAGAGCATGTTTGGGGTGTGGTCAACAGAACTTTTTCAAACTTTAGAGGCTGACATGTGACTGAAGACATTGTTATTGCATTTTACTTGGCAGGCAAAGGAAATTTTCTAGCCGCTCCGACCGACTGACCTATACTTTCAAAACAGAATGCATATACATATTTAAACCAGCATATAGCATTTCTGGTATAAACATGGGTTATTTGAATTTGTCAAGTCATAACTCTACCTTTTTAACAACATTGTTTGAACCCTGATTAGATACAGCTCCTAAACAACACAAACAAACAACATCAATAGCATTAATTGTACCTTGGCATGTCTCAATTTTGCAGAACTCTCTCTGAGTTGCTCCATCTAGTCCAGCAATGTAGCACCAAGGCCCCTCAGCCAAGTCTGGATTTCGACAGTAATTGTGATCTCCAACACCTATGAGGTGAACATATAAAAACCTTACGCAAATAATTTATTACAAAACTATAGTTCTATTTCTATTTGCCTGTCCTGCAGTGGGAAACAATGAGTTCATAAATCATTAACTCTCCTCCATCTCCCCACACTGAACAAGCCACACTGCCAAATGAAAATGCAGCTGCTGTGTACACAGTAGAGGCCATTTAATCTATGCCAACATCATGTAATCTTGTGTAATAAATAAATATCTTCATTGCACTTTTATCTGTATCAATGTGTACATACAGTTAGTCTTGAAGATAAAAAACTGTATCAAGACAAGTTGATAAAGCAATCAGTACAGTAGCTTACAGCTTATATACAAGTTTAACAGTGAAAACTTATGTAGGGATATTTACCAGTTTGTGAATCTGGGTGGTCTTTCACATCATAGTCCCTGGTAATGTTGATCCAGTTTATACAAGTCAGACCAGAGGAGGTGCTCTGTTGATTCCCCCTGTATCCCACACCATTCAGTTCTACACAGTCTGCAATGACACACGAAAAGAAACGTCAATAAAATACAGCAACAGCAAATGGTCAAATTTTAAATTATCGAGATCAATTATCAAATGTATAAAGTAATAACATCTTTGAAACGTTACCTTTTGTCTCCTGGCTGAATACGTTGTCCACAAAAAACATGGTCATGCAAACAAGGTGCAGAGAGGAGAGCATTTTGAGGGATCAGTGCATGTGTGGTATTAGAAAAACAAACTAAAAACCTTCAAAGAAGATGGAAAAACGACTGAGAGCCTGTGCTGAAGCCATCAGCCACACTGCTCTTTTCACTTGTTTTTGTCCCAGGCAAGACTCAGCTTTCTTCGTAAACAGCTTTCAGTGGGAGGAGGCTGCTGGGGAGCTGCCCTTTGAGGCATTTACTTCTAGGTCCTAAAGCCTACCTGCACTGCTCACGAAAACATATTGACTGAACACAGCTTATTTCCTATATGTAAAGGTAGATCTAGCCCCTTTGTTCATGTTCTTTGCAAAACATTGGCAGTGAGATGTGGAGTGGAAATACAAGGGTTTTTATTAGCTCAAGAGTGTGTTTGTGCTAAAACAGCTATAATATCTGGCCCTCTGTATATTAATCCTATGCATGGAGGATTATGGACACATTTACGTTGGTTTTACCAGGTGAGGTCATTTTTAGAAAGGTTTCTTTTAAATGTACAAACAATTTATACGCAAACAGATTTTATAAAATGCATTAAAATGAATGACATTGAGAAAATATTTTCATTGTTCCCAGATTAAGCTTCATTGATGCACCATTACTGAAACTTGCACAACTTGCACCGTACACAGTTTTAATAATCTTTAAATTTCACTCGCTTTATTTTGAGATTGCAGAATATGCCACTATGGTCAAGGGTTGTACACTAAACTCCAGGGGTCGCATAGGAGCTTTGGTTTTGAAATAGAGTAAAGTGCAAACTCCTATTTACATTTAGTCAGATTTTAAACTGGATATTTTTTTCTCATTGTCTGGCACACACAACATTCATCTGCTACAATAGACTATGACTCATGTGCAATCAAGGTGTACACAGACTCAGCGTTGGTGTAACTGGACCAGAGTAAGCATCATCTGATACTCTCACAAATGTACTTCAAATAACATTTACAGCTATTGTGTTCATATTCAATTAATGTCAAACAATGATGGTCAAGGATTTGAGGCTGCAAGAAAGTTTCCACTCTCTTCATAACTTTTTTCTAAAAAGTGTATAGCTACAAAGATGTAATGGGGTCAGACTAATCATTGGCTTGTGATTCAAATATAAGAAAATAAAAATTCACCAGCTCTTTATCACATTCAGACAATTATCTTTGGCTCTGTGTGGCTGTGGAAAATGGACACTTATCCAGGCAGAAGGCCTCTAATGGAGCATTAAAGCACACATGATATTTCCTCACTGGGCACTCAGCGGCCAATTTTCCAAGAAGCTGTTGCATTACGTCACCACATTATGGTAGATTTGTCTGATTCCAACCTTTTTAAAAAAGAACTTCATGTTTTAAAAGTACAAGGTAGCCCAAGGTCTTATTTGTGTGTTTGCCTTTTCTTCAAAAGCTTACTTCAAAGCAGCTCTAGCTACTGACTTCTTACGTAACCAGGGAAGTGTCCAAGTACTCCCAAATCAGCAGATGCAGCTCTTTCATGTCTTGGGCCTCTGCATGTAGTTACCATGTGCATCTTAAAATATCCCCATGCAATTTTATCTGGTGCCTCCAGTGTACCATGGCGTTCACGCTGGGAGTTGCATCACTTTGAAGGCTCTCCCACAACAGCAGTTGTGAGAGAGGGGGGAAAGTGGACACCATTTTCCCTAAACTCACAGTAGAAAGCGTGTACAGCCTGCTGCAGAGTGGAGAGCTCACAGAGGACTGGGAGATCTTTAGATAATTTCATGAGTCGCATGAGGAGTGCAGCCCGGGTCAACATACCGCAGAGTGCACTGTGAAAGTGAGCGTCTATGAGGACGGTCAACCATGTCTGCATATCACCTAAAGAGAAAGAAGCAGCATTAAAGAATAAATGCAATTCAACATTTAACCTGGACTTGTTAAGACATTTAATGCTATGTCATATCAACTACCATGTCAACCATAATCTAAATGACATGATTTTTTACATTTGGCATTTTTATACCTACATAGCTTATCTTCTGACTGTCATGCAAAAAAGGTTTTGGAACTATAAATAGCATTGTACCTGTCAAGAGTTCTTTGCAAATTTGGAGGTCTTCTAGCACATGGGGGACCGTCTCCTTTGCCCAAGTGTTTAACTGTATTCCCAAAGAGGGGGACTGACTGCATTTTTCAGCCATCTGCAGCAAATAAGGCAGCACCTGAGCGCACATCACTGACGGCTCTGCAAACACATTGGCCTCGTCTTGCTCATACAATGCGACACACCTGAATTGCAGGATAAACAGTTAGGCAAATATGTCATCTGTCTGTTTGAACAGTGGTTACTGATTTAGATCACACACCTATTTTGCGTGGCATTTGTCTGAACAGATCTGAGGTCAGTCTGCGGCAGGTGAGATAAGAGGATGCCAAAAGCACCAGAGTCCCAACACTGCTCTGTGAGCTTATCGAGGAGAAAGGGGAGGGCCTTATTCACCTGCATGACAAAGATGCTTCCACAAGAAGTTCCATAGGTGTGCTTTAGCATGGAGGCGAAATATGCTGCTTTCACTCTGATCTGCACACTTTGGTCCTGAAGTAAGTGAAGGCTTATATTGACCAACCTGCCAAAAGCAAATAAAATTGCATTTCTCATCGATTTAAACTTTCATAACAACACACAACACAATAACTACTAATAAGCTATAACATGGCTTATACTGATAACTTATACTGATAATAATTTCGCTCAGGACTGTTACTGAATAAATTCATGAACACCTGCTAAAAAATATTTATCTAACATTGACATTATTAACACTGTTCAGGTCCCAACTGTGGTTCAAATAATGACTAACAACTTCACTCATCCTCAACCTGTACTTAAGACTTTCATGTGTATAGTTTCTACAGCGTGTTTATCATGTGGTGTTGCAGTACCTGACCATTATGGTGGGTTTTTCTTGGTTTGGCCTGTGATTCAGAAGAGATACTCCAGCCAAAATCAAAGCCTCCACGCAGGCCATTCTGAGCCCTTCAGATGCATGTGGTAAACAGTAGTCCTCCAACACTTTACACCACCGCTCAATAATGGAGAAGCTGGAACTTTTTACGCAGAATAAAAAATATTGTGTTACACATGCATAATAACATAATGATGCACTTCTAATTTCATTAAATGTGCTAAAATAAGTTCATCTCACCAGTAACATAAAAGTAAACTAACTGCCCCCAGGGCATCAGACAGGAACTCTGGACCACCTCTTTGTGCCTCCAGATCCTCAAGTAACAGCTCTACACATTCAACCAAAACAGGCTCTTTCAGTGAGGTTTTTAGAGGTAACTGAGGCAGAAGACTCTCCCCAAAAGTTGCTAGTGTTACAAGCGCTTTAAGGTATAAATGGCGATATTCCACAGATTGGCTCAATAATGCATCCTGGAGGTTTGCCTGTAGTAAATACAGAACTATACAGTAAATCTATACAACCAAATTTGACAACCAAAAACATATCCCCTGTCTTCCAAAATTAACTTGAATTTTCTTAGACTCAATACTCTCGCAAAAAAATTATTACAAGTATTTAGTAAAAAATTGTATTAGGTGATATAGCCCTTTCATATTTCAGTATACTTCAGTGAGCTCCACTATGGCATTTGCACATGTATGATCTCATAACATTATGGCCATAGAAGGAGCACAATACTCCTACACTGAAAATGTGGAAGGAGAGGATGAGTGAAAGTAAGCATGTGGGAAGATGTTGCTGAAGTAATTGGGATAAATACTCTTTCCTGAAAATAACAATAAAAAATTAATCTTGAGGTATACATTTTGGTCAGTATCACCCACCCCAGCAGGCATTAACATCTGCTGCTAACCCTGAATTAAAACGAGGCTCATTAATATGAATCAGTGCTACAGTAGGATTCTGAAACCACTCCTTTGTTGCGGGCTCTGAGAAAGGCATGAATGTAGAAGTTGCTAAACTGGTTTTAAAGTTGTTGTTTGCTTCAGTGTTGAAATTGAATCTCACCTGTAACACCTCATGGATCAGCTCTTTAACTGGATGTAAACTGCACCTATCCACTGCCCACTTCACCAGAACCAGTCTGACATCAAGCCTCAAAATACTAAACTTTTCCCAAATGTGAGATGCCCACAGGGGGTTAGTGCATAGAAAACTGATGGATGTTTGATGGAAGGATGAGAGACCAATCTGTCAATGTAGGAAAAATATATAATTAGAGAAATTTGGTTTATTTTGCCTTACTTTTATTTGAATGTCAAGTCACGTACCTGGAACTCTAGTTGAGCCTTTTGGAGATCATCAGTCAGTATTTTATGAAGCTGTGAAAGGAAATGTTCTGAACAAAATTGTGTTATGGCTTCTATTACTTCAACATATGCCATTTTCACTAGGGGGCAATGCTGAGCTTCAGTTGCCAACCAAAGTGATGCCTCCACTTTGTTTACTACCTCATGCAGGCCAGGTACAGGGCTGCAAACAGGAAAGAAGTTTTGATTACAAAACCACTCCTACACTGTGACAAAATAACAAACATAAGTACTTCACCTTTGTGCACCAACAGCCCTCTGAAACAGGGCTTTGATCTGCAGGAGGTGCCCATGCAGCCAGTTGTGAGAATATCTCTGTTGAAAACCTGGGAGTTGTCCCACAAGTGTGAGAAGGATCTTAATATTTTCAGATGGGGGTGTTATTGCTACCAAAGCCCTTGATGCCATTACTCTCACATTGTAAATAGGACTGGCAGAAAGTTGAAGTAAAGGGGGTACAAAGTCTGTTAAAGATCTGTTAAGGAATATAATAATTATTAAAAATATGATTAAATGTTTAATATAGATGATTTGCATCAAATATATTGAAACGTTAGCTCTCCATTCCTCTCTGTATGCACTTACTGTACTGAATCTTGGACGCCAGGATGGAGCTGTGCTAACAGGGTGAGAATAGGAAACAGTGAAGGCTTGAGATGAAGCCGAGCTTCATTTGACTGCCTCTGCAAAACATCTGCTGCTTCTCTCAGCTCTGCTGAGAGAAATGGCTGCAGTGCACTATAGTGACAAAAGAAAGCAGTGGAGGACATCCCATTTTGAGCACTCTTGTCATCCTCATTGCTGGGACAATGGCCAAGCATTCGAGAGCAAAGTGAACCTGAAAATTTAATCATTACTTGCAATATAATCATTAGCAAAATTTTTAAATAATGCAATATATTATATATATATATTTCCATGTTCCCTACTGTAGAGCTGGAGAGCAGCATTCCTCATAGCCCAGCAGGAAGAACTGAGTAGGGTCAGTGATAGAATGGTGACAGTTGGAGCAAACTGAAGGACTGCAGACCCCAGAGCCGTGCCACGAACCAGGGCTTGCAACGTGTGAACCGCACATACCTGTAAGACTCCGCAAGGACTTAGTAAGAAAAGTAATCTAATGAACCCAAATAAATGGGCGTTCTACCTGTGAGAGGTCCAGAGTCTGGTCCCATCGCTCTGGAAGAGGAGCTTTGGCTGTTTCCAGTAAAAACTCTACACTATGGGCTAAAAGAGGTCGCCCTTTGCTGGCCACCTCTGCTGAAAGCACACACAGAATAAGCATGGGCAGACCTGCTGCACGCCGGGTCACTGAGGTGGATCTGGGGGACGCTATGACCTGCAGGACCTGTTTGTGAACAACAGATGTCCCATGAAGATCGTACATTCAAAGTAAACAATGGCACACAGTCACATTACCCACTTGTTTTAACATGTCTGCAGGGATTTCCTTTAGTTCTGGATCATTACTTCTCAGCAGACAAGCACAAAACTTAGTGAAGCCAATACAACAACCCTCTACTGCCCCCTGGTGTAGAGAAATTGATTACAAAAATATACCTTAAACATAAGAACTTCAATTTTTTAACTTACCCACTGACGACATTTAAGCAGAATATTCCAAAAGACCCTTGAAACTCGTTTTAGATCTGTTTTGGTGAGGAGGTGGTTGGAAACCTGACACCGGCTAAAGACATGGTCTACCAAAGAACCCAAAAATATTCCAGTTTCCTATCAACACACATGAAATCAGCAAAAGTATTTATTCAAACTTACACCTAATTAGAGCTGTACCTTGAGAGAGACCCAGCAGCAGGTGAGAACAAGGCTGTGTTTCTCTGATAAGAGAACACACTCTTCCGTCTCACTGTGTCCCCCTCCTGAGGACTGGTCAATTAAACTTGTGATTGCATTCCCCATGTCACAAAAAGAAGGAGGTGCATCTGAAAAAAAAACAACGTATACCATAATTTTAAACTATATTAAAACAAAAACAATTAAATATGTATGTACCTTGACCATTGGAAGTGCCCTCCTGATCTCCATACAACACACCAAGAAGAAGCAGAGAGATGTTTTCCAAAAGTTCTAGTGCAAACAGGATCAGGCTCCTGTCAAGTTTATCTTGCATGTTGCTAGGTGAGTCGAACAAGCACCTCTGAAGAGCACTCAGGATTCCTAAAATGTATATGTAATGCTATACATTTATGTTTCTATGTTAAGTTGTGATTTATTATAGGATTAACTGTGTCCATGCTTACCATGAATAGGGTTAGTCCTGACAGCAAGCATCATGTCACTCTTCACTGTACAATAATGTTTCTCCAATTCATTAAACAGAAATCTCACTAAATCAAATTCTTGCATGTTTGAACCACATCTGAAAGTATTGAGATGAGAGACATTGTGATCTGTAGATACAGTACATCTCCTACAGCACAATTTAAATGGAGAAAAAGGCGTAACTTACATTAAATGGAGCACCTTAATCATCAGTGCTGCCATTTGTGCCTCCTGCACTCGAGGACTGCAGAGGAGCTGTTTTGTTTGTGTGAATAGAGCAGTGGAAATGTCTTTTGGAAAACTGGATGGAAAAAACCTCAACAATAAATTTGCAGAGAGCTCTCGGATCTGTGAAAAAAAAATAAAAATTAAAAAACAAAAAAAACAAAAAATAAATAAATTATGTGTATGTGTGTGCGTGCGTGTAAATCTTCATTCCAAAATGTAAAAAAGAAGCAATGTAAAGCTGCAAAACCTCATTTGTTGAATCCCCCAAACAGCTGAGGAGGACAAGTAGTTTTGCACGGCAGAAGAAATTCCATTGTTCCTTTTGTTTTGCGTATTTAATGAGACAATCCATGGTCTCTGATAAAAATCATTAAAACTTATTGATCATGACAACATTTAGCACAATGATGCTGTATTTCAAACATGCTTATAAACATACCTGGTGGCTGTCCTTTTTTTTTGTCTGGGCTCCATGTAGCAGTACATGTTTCTAGCACTGTAGTGAGCACCAGTAAAGAGGTCTTTTTCCTTTGGTAGCTATGACCTGCTGCCAGATAGCAGTATGGAAGCTCTCCCAACCAATCAACAAACTCTATAATACAAATAATTCAGGGAATTGTTCAACACTTATCAAATAGAAAATGCCTCACCTGTTCCCTGATCCAGTAAGTTTTTGACCTCTTCTTTATTGGAAGCATCTTGTTTCTTTTTGCCATTTTGAATTTTGACAAAGAACAAGCAACAGTCTCTGATACGGACCAAGAATTGCCTCACTCCATTCTGAAAATGTTGGCGAAAAGATGAAGACTCACAATTAAGATTTTGAGGAATAAAGCTCTTGATCAATTCCAGCTCCTCCTGTGTTGGAAAGTCTTTAGTTTTTGGGCTGCAGCAGAGGAGATTGAAAGCAGCAAGACGCACTTTGTCATCTGCAGACTCTAAGGCCAGATGGAGGATCTTGAGAGTGGTGCCTCCCTGCAAAGTCCATGGAGATTGTCCAGTTGTTGCCCGATATGAACTCAAAACACAGGCCCAAGCATACAGATGACCAGGGGAGCTTGGGTTCAGAGAACTTAAAAGTGGCTCCACAGCAGAAGGAAACACACGAAATGTAATCGGTAATAGATGAATATAGCAGTTGTTTTGTAAAAATGCCACCTCAGATGTAAGTGCTTCAATAAGGACACACTTCCAGCCCATTGCCCACTGATCCACATGACTTTGTTCATTTTGGCAGGAAGGCTCCTGTCTTTGCTGCTGTATCAAACATTTATAAAGCTCTGATCCGCATGAAGAGAGGTGATGCGTGCTTAAACACTTCAGTATATGATTTGGTAGCTCAGGGTAATGACTCAATATCTTTTGAAAGAGAGACAAGTCAGAGAGTCAGCAACACTGAAAAACAATACATCATGTTTTTTCTTACCTTGTCAGAACCCAAAAATGGGAGAAGTGCGCATAACTGGTAGTATTTGGCTTTATTTTCCCAAGGCAAGTTGGTTATCCGATGAAGTAATGAAGAATAAAGAGTCCTTTCAGCATCATCACACATCTCACAATCCAGCTGATAGAGGTCCAGCAGTAAAGAAAAGGCACTACGGGCAGATTCGGACACTCCATCTACCTGTTATGTTGCAAATGTTAAAATGTACAATTGTAGTTTAGCATAAAACTTGGTTAGTTGAAACAGCACAATGCATTCAGAGAAATTATGTACTTAAGGGTTTGACTCACAGGGCTGTCAGCATTGCTCAAAATTATATGAACAAGTTGCTGTTTGAGACTGCTGCTGTCAGACAAAAGGCGATCCCCTGTTATCGCTCTAATTTCAGCCAAGTTTTCCTTCACTTTCTTCAGCCAAAGAGTTAACACTGAAAAAAATTAATTTTAATTCTGAATCTATAATTTTGCTTAGATTAAAAGAGATAGATTAAAAGAGGTATCACTGACCTTCAAAGGCAAAATAATGACAGTCCAGTTTCTCCTCACACAAACTGATTATAACAGAAAATAAGCCATTCAGCAGTAAACACACCTGAAAGAAAACAAAGAAGGGGCAGACTAATTGAGTACACAGTTATACATAATAGCAGCAATATTATCAGATGTATCAGTACTTCTGTATTATCAGCATTTGTGCTAAGTAGGACATGAGGCTGACAGCAGGTCAAGACTCCTCTGCTAACAGCCAGAAGAGCTATCTCTTTCTTACTGATAGATCTGCAGTTCACCTGGAGACCACTGACTGTTACAACCCCAGACTCTGCCAAGCAAGATAATCCATTATAAAAAAAGAATACATGAAATAAAAGATAAAATCGCTAATACTCCGAGCAAGACCTTGATTTGAGATCTGAAGTAGCCTCGATGCAGCATGTCCTGCTGCCTGGCTATGTGAGGAATTGAGCAGCATGGCTACTGCAGTACCTGCCAGTAAACAGGTGTCTCTGTTGCAGCACTATGCATACAAAATAAGCATTACATTCATACAAACATATTCACAGATTTGTTTCTCATAATAAAATAAACATGGGTTTGCTACGTAATTACCGGTCCGTATATGATGTCTATAAGAGCTTGTAGAATGTTTTGTACTTGGCTGCCTTCCATCTCTGTCCACACCACAGACGACAGTTGATTTGGCAATAGCTGAAATATCTGCAAACAAAGCTGAGGGGGGAAAAATTACAAAAAGACATTTTTTGTAACAATTATGGTAAAGCTTATCTAATACCTTTACAGCAGAGTAACAGAGTGGTCCATCTCTTAAAAATTCTTCTTCAAGCACAAATGTAAAAAGTTGAGCAACTTTTAGCATTAGGGGCAGACAAAGCTTTTTCCACACCTCCCGGCCAATAGCACTGTGCTCCAGGAACATACATGCTTAATAAAAGACAAGGAAAAAAATTTGAAAAAAATAAAAATAAAAAATCAACTTGTGTTTTTATATTACCAACCTCTTTGCAGGTCATCCAATGATAGTAACTGAAAAGAAAGATAGCTTTAAATAGCCCTACCAGCAGGAGTTTTACCACAGGGAAGTGTAACCTACCTGCTCTTTATGAACAATTGCCTGCAAGCATTTTTTGATTTCACTATAAACCAGTTGTTGATTAACACCAGCCAGTTCTTGTAACATCTTCAAAACAAAAATAAAACAATTAAAAACATTTATTTGTATTACTAAAAGGACAGCCTATCAATTCAAATAGGCTACTACACCAAAACTGACCTGGTCTATTTTCCTACATGCTGTAGATATGCCAACTGTCTCTAACTGGAGAGAAATAAGGATTTGGATCATGAGCAGCAAATGGCTCTCGTCTAAACTAAAAAGTACACGAGTCTTTGAAATGCGCTTAAGTAGCTGGACAGCCTCCTCCAAACATCGCTCCTTTATCCTCTTCACGGTGCTCCTGTTGATACAGTGTAATAGGTGCTTAAAAGCATGTGTCAGACTTATCTATTAGTCAGGTGTGGGTGGTACAAACCTGGAAGACTCCAAAAGTCTCTCATAAAACAGATTCAGATCTTGCTTGACATTTTCTTGTACTTGTTCATCAGTAATAGCACACTTCTGCAGACTTGTTATAAGCTCACCAAACGACATTTTTGGTTTATTTACACTGTTAAAACCCACAAACTTAACAGCTCTATTCCTTGAACCTCATGGCTAGGGTGTTGATGTCACGTGACCAACCAAGGCTACTTCTAGTTTTCAAGATCACTTATTTTGCAAATACTGCCATCTAAAGGCAGGTAAAGGTAGGTTTGGCAGGTAACTAGGACTTCTTGAGCAATTTGAGTTCAATTAGATGCTAATTATTTTAACATTATGATGCAACAGACACAGTAGGCTACATAAAGTAGATATGAATATCTTTTAGCTAATTCAACTTAAATCACTTAAACAGACAACAGTAATAAAAGCAACCGGAAGAGGGCACGCTTAACATTTTTTTCCCCACTTCCGGGCTGTTGCCAAGACGATCCTCAAAGTTTACAAATATGTCGAAGCTCGCATGAATGGAACCAAATGGCTAATGCACTTTCCTTCACATTTATTCACGTTTTGTGTCTTTTGCTGCACTGTTCTGCGTCCAGTGCTCAAAACGTCGGTAAGTGTTTGGACTATAAGCGTAATTATAAATCCTGTAACTAACTGTAGCTAAGGAGCTAACTAATGATAACAAGGCTATTGACAACATAGTGTGTATGCAGTTTAATCTCTGACCTTGAAAGAAACTATAAAACTATAAATAATTTGATACCCAATAGTTTTTCAGCCCTCTTTTCTGACCATACATGGACCTTCAATGACTGCACTGTTGTATGGATTCTCCTCAAAAATCACCCTGAACCTGCAGGCAATACCATCCTCTAATGTGACAGGTAAGATCCCGATGAAATGGCATAGAAATATACATTTAAATATATTTAAATATTACTATTCCAATTACTGTTACAGGCAGCTTTGTTCCTCCTTCTTGTGTGCCTGGTGTGACACAGTGGATTCTGACAAGTGAACTCATTGCAAAGGTTGTAATTTTATAACATTGTTGTTTACATGGGTAACTTAACTGTTTTTATCCATGTGTGATTTTGCAGACTGCTGTTCAAGTTAAACTAAGACTCAACAGAAGTCTTCGTTTGTGTGGCAATAATGAGACTGACACTGATTGCTGTGTTAAGCCACTGTGTGTCCTGGAGACCCTTCAACTCACTGCCTGTGAAGGGAATACATCACAAGCTTCACTGATTATTCAGGTCAAGATTTACGCTCTGCTGGGTTCTGGGAACATGGTATTTGGTAAGATGTAATCTTGAGAAATTTCAAAGTATTTTTTTGTAATATGTTTTTCAACACAAGAATGAATTTTTCCAAATTGTTTTAGATAACAGCACAATAATTCAAAATCAAGTGTACAGGCCTTTGGGGGATTGTCCCTGTGACCTTACTTTCAACACTTGTGATCTATGGTGCTGCTGTGACAAGGTACTTACATTTACACTATTTTATAAAGTAAAAATAATATATTGGCTCTTATTGTTATTTTTATGTTATTTGTGTCTATGCAGGACTGTTCTACTGCGGATTTTAAGCTCTTTAGATACCGCTGTCTTACAGGACCTTTTGGTGGGCAGTTCCCTGATCCAGAGTATCAATGCTCAGTCCAGTCCACTCAGAACTCCCCAGATTGGTTTCCGTTCTTGTGTGTAACCTCCCCACCTGAGAATAATCCTTACCTTGGACTTTTCTACCAAGGCAACACAATGTAAAAAGTCGCTATATAAACAAAAAATAAGCAAAATATAATGTATACTATTTTGGAGATAACAAAAAGCTTTTATAAAACATTCTTTAGGGCCCCAAAACCTGGTATTTCATTTGGAGGTTCTGTTTCATTAGCACCAGCATTATCAAATGCATATACTGAAGGAAGTCCCATTTTGACAATAAAAGATCAGTACTTTACAATTCCACAGGTAAGTTATTTTGAAATATCTGGAAATGGAAATACATATGTTTTGTAAGAATGCTGTTACCATTACTGTTATTCATATGTTTGCACAGACACTTAATGGGCATTGTGTGACCAATGCTCCTGTGGCCTTTTTGAAAAACCTTGATGTCAGATGTGTAACCTCAGTGCAGGCCTGTCCAACTGAGTTTCCATTACAGACAATACCTGAAGATTTAAGAGCTGTTGTGAAGAATGGTATTGCTGGTAAATTGTTCTTTCTCACCTTGCTTGAACGTAGCTTAGCATTGCTGATATTGAAGTCTTTGTAGGAAATGTTGTGGTGGATGTAACTGACCAACTGGCTACTGAATTAAATGAGTTTGTTACAAGCAGTGACATATTTGGCTCATCAGGTACAGAAATGCATTATATCGATTATGTGTTTGTTTTTTTTATTGGAAAACAAAGAGTGTTCAATGTTACTATCTACATGTTACATGTTACAATTTATACAAAAGGCCTAGTATGTGAAAACGTCACTTTGGCCTTGGATTACAACTTCCACTGGAAAGAAAATGGCATAACTGGAATCACATTAACCCGCACTGTCGGCAGTGTGACTCTGAAGGGCAACGGTGAGACCTTTAAAAAATGTTAATGATACATATGGTTTACATATGTTAATGCATCTTTTGTTTTCTTAAAAGTGTCATTAACTACAAGATACTCTGCAATGTTTCTAAGTGGAGACATTATGAGTGAACCCAATTCAGGAAACCCAGGTAAAAACTCCTGAATTTGGCATACATTATGTATGATACTTTTAATTTTTTTTTTTTACTACAGGGTATCAGGTGGGAAGGCCTGTAATTGGAGGAATCCTAAACACATCAATAGGGAATGATACTGTATTAATAGCTAGGTCCCCAATGCATCTGTGGAAACCAGGTACCTAATATTACTGTGAGATCTAAAAATAGACACTACATTTACATAATCTGATGTGTGTTGTAGTCAACAGTGGCATTTGTTCATCAGCCGATGTGAGGCCTTTGTTATTTGGTGAGAATTCAACATCTGGATGTCTGATTCCTGTCAGTCGGCAAAATCTTACTGAATGTAGTCTCCTGAGGTATGTATGTGTGTGTGTGTGTGTGTATATATATGTATGTATGTGTGTGTATATATATATATATATATATATAAAAATGTGTTTCTCACCTTCCACGGTGGTAGGTCTCTCTCACCCTCATTCAGCTCGGGTCCTCTACCAGAGGCCTGGGAGCTTGAGAGTTCTGCGCAGTATCTTTGCTGTTCCCAGTACTGCACTTTTCTGGACTGAGATGTCCATTGTTTTTCCCGGTATCTGTTGAAGCCACTCTTCCAGTTTGGGGGTTACAGCCCCGAGTGCTCCGATCACCACAGGCACCACTGATGCCTTTACTTTCCAGGCTCTCTCCAGCTCTTCCTTGAGCCCCTGGTATTTCTCTAGCTTCTCGTGTTCCTTTTTCCTGATATTACCATCGCTTGGTATTGCGATGTCCACCACCACGGCTCTGCTCTGTTTCTTATCCACCACCACTATGTCTGGTTGGTTCGCCATCACCATTCTGTCAGTCTGTATCTGGAAGTCCCACAGGATCTTGGCTCGGTCATTCTCCACAACCTTTGGAGGTGTTTCCCACCTTGATCCTGGGGTTTCCAGCCCGTACTCTGCACAGATGTTTCTGTACACTATGCTCGCCACTTGGTTATGTCGCTCCATGTATGCTTTCCCTGCCAGCATCTTACACCCTGCAGTTATGTGCTGGACTGTCTCAGGAGCCTCTTTGCACAGTCTACACCGTGGGTCTTGTCTGTTGTGGTAGATCTGGGCCTCTATTGCTCGAGTGCCCAGGGCCTGCTCCTGAGCAGCCAGGATCAGTGCCTCTGTGCTGTCCTTCAGACCAGCCCTCTCAAGCCATTGGTAGGATTTCTTGATATCAGCCACTTCAGTTATGTTCCGGTGGTACGCCCCATGTAGGGGTTTGTCCTGCCATGATGGTCCCTCCAGCACCTCTTCCTCTGGACCCCATTGTCTGAGACATTCTCTGAGCACCTCATCTGCCGGGGCCTTGTCCTTGATGTACTCAAGGAGCTTGGATGTTTCATCCTGGACAGTGGTTCCCACACTCACTAGTCCTCGGCCCCCTTCCTTCCGGCCTGCGTACAGTCTCAGGGTGCTGGATTTGGGATGGAACCCTCCATGCATGATCAGGAGCTTTCGTGTCTTAACATCTGTGGTCTGTATCTCCTCCTTTGGCCAGCTTACAATCCCTGCAGGGTATCTGATCACTGGCAGGGCGTAGCTGTTGATTGCCTGCACCTTGTTCTTGCCATTGAGCTGGCTTCTAAGGACTTGCCTCACTCTTTGCAGGTATTTGGCCGTAGCCGCTTTCCTTGTTGCCTCTTCAAGGTTGCCATTTGCTTGTGGGATACCAAGGTACTTGTAACTGTCCTCAACGTCTGCTATTGTTCCCTCTGGGAGTGACACCCCCTCTGTGTGGACTACCTTCCCTCTCTTTGTCACCATCCTGCTACATTTCTCAAGCTCGAATGACATCCCAATGTCTGTACTGTAGATCCTTGTGGTGTGGATCAGTGAGTCGATGTCTCGCTCACTCTTAGCGTACAGATTGATGTCATCCATGTAGAGGAGGTGACTGATGGTGGCCCCGTTTCTGAGTCGGTATCCATAGCCAGTGCGGTCGATTATTTGGCTGAGGGGGTTCAGGCCTATGCAGAACAGTAGTGGGGACAGTGAGTCTCCTTGGTATATGCCACATTTGATGTGTGTGTATATATATATATATATATATATATATATATATATATATATATATATATATATATATATATATATATATATATATATATATATATAAAAATGTGTTTCTCACCTTCCACGGTGGTAGGTCTCTCTCACCCTCATTCAGCTCGGGTCCTCTACCAGAGGCCTGGGAGCTTGAGAGTTCTGCGCAGTATCTTTGCTGTTCCCAGTACTGCACTATATATATATATATATATATATATATATATATATATATATATATATATATATATATATATATATATATATATATATATATATATATATATATATATATATGATTCACAACTTAATTATTGTTAAAGTGATAATTGTTACAATTGGTCTTCATGATTATTGTCTTTTAGAAATTCTGTACATTCTCTCCAAGGAGCTCTGATTGAAGCCACATTGGTTGCTAGAAATGGTCATCCTGATGCTCTAACTCTGGCTGACTGGCTAAATATTACCTGTATGTATATGACAGAATGCATCTAGAATTTCCACTCATTTTTCCTTTTAACAACATTACTGTGCCAATCCATTATTTTCTTAATCTTTTCAGATGTAACCCTAAATTCTAGTGGAGTAGAAGATTCAAACAGTTCATGCGCGGATATACCATCCCATTTACATATCTATCTGTGGACTCTTGTCTCAGGCTTTGTGGATGGGATTCCTCAGAAAGACATCAAAGCAGTACAAATAAGGTGTGCACAAGTTCTTCAATATCTTTTATGCAGAAAACCATACTCTGTACATATTAATCACTTAAAGGTGCACTATGTAGCTTTCTGGTGGAGGGTCTGCCACCTGCTTGTCTTTATGGACACAAGAAGATTCTACAGTATGGCATTAAAGTGAAAATTTATGTTTTTTTCCCAGTATTTTCATGTATTAGAACAAAGGTTAATGCCATACTGCGGTACATTAAAAGTATTGCTTGCATTATGCTGACAACCGGGAGGCTGACCCTGAACCACAAAAGTTACATTGTGCACATTTAAATTTCTCTGATGCTTTTTTTATTTATTTATTTATTTTTTTTATTAAAGCTATAGCCTGTCTTCCTGGAGACTCAAATGTGGAGGAGGGGACTCTGCAGTGTGTATGGATCCAGCAGAAACACAATTGCTTCCCATCACTTCCTCAGTCACATTTATTGATATTCCTTTAAACACAGGACCACCAAAAACCAGGTAATTCTTAAGGTCTTTGTTTAGGCATAACAGGGTTGGAAACTGCATAAACTGATTTGAAACTGATATGAACTGCAATTGTGATTTATTCTCAGATATCAAATAAATTTCACTGAGTATGATTGCAACCGAAATGATGTATGTTGGCCTGAGCTTGCCTTCCCTATTACCAGATTTTACACAGGTATTTTTATAACTTTGAGACCAATCCCAAATTGATCAGTTTGGATTATAATGCATTTATTTGTTTTCTGAAATCCTCTCCAGGTGAGTCATACTCTCAAGCTCTGGCCAAAGGTCTTATTTTGGTTTTCTTCTTTATTGTTGCTTCTGTTCTGGGAAATCCTTGGAGGCAAATTCGACAGATATGGAACACTATTTAAGAACATTTACACACAGAATAATTATCAATGATTTTCTGTATATGTGTATATATTTTTGTATCAGACATTTTGAAATAAATGCTGTTATTAAAACGCTCAATTTGATTCACAAATTGTGCAAAATAAGCACAACACTTAATGAATTTTTTATACATTTACCTGTGACAAGGGTGGCAAAAATATGGATCGATAATAAAATGGGCAAAAATCAAGAGTTGCTGGAAGAATGACGTTGCACGGTACGTCAAAATCCCGGAAGTACTGTTCATTGGAAGTTGAACCGTGCACGTATTCAGTGGAGTGATGAGAAGTGACGTGGAGTATCGTCGATAAACCAGAACTTTTAAAAGTCAGTTTTTGACATGGATTTGGTATAAATTGAAATGTTTCCAAAGTAGTAAAAGGCAAGTAAGTTTAACGGAAGAGCAAGACGCGCCTCCGATCGTATGGTATTAGCTGTGTAGCACCCACCTAGCCTCTGAGGCTGTGCTGCTGCTGATGGCTATCTGAAGTCTGAAATCAACTGCACAAGTTGCATATGGTTTATGATTAACATCTCAGAATGTAAAACTATATCGTAGTTGAACTACCAACGAAAAGTCTATAGTTGTGTGAGAAACTACCAGCAGAAAGTGCCAACATGAATTCTCTGCTGCGAAGTGAGGAGATGTGTTTAGCCCAGTTATTTCTCCAGTCTGGGTCAGCGTACGACTGCATCAGTGAACTGGGAGAACTGGGGCTCGTGGAATTCAGAGATGTAAGCCGAAACTTTATTGTCTTGTGACTTCATAGTATTATAGTATAACAACATCCTAGTCAAATGTAACAGATGGTTTCTCTTGATGTGGCCTACAAATAACCTTGTTCATTTGTCTTTTATGTGTTTTTAGCTCAACCCGTCTGTGATTGCTTTTCAAAGGAAATATGTCAATGAGATCAAAAAATGTGAGGAGATGGAGAGAATTCTTAGTAAGTGCAAAGAGTTGTATTACGTACGTACATTAAAATACTCATGGGATTGTTGCAGTAGTAGTGTAGCTGTGGTATACAGCTTGACATGATTGTGGAGGTGGAATAGTCTTACTGAGGGCCTTCTGACATAAAGTGACTAAGACTACAGTCATGGGAGCTGTCAGCTGATTGTAGATTAAATTAAACCGAACTCTGTCTTAGATAGTAAAGTTTAAATGCTCTTTGATTAGATAAAGCTGTGCGATAGAGTAGCATAGTCTGGTCCCAAAATAAAAGTACAAAGTCTTATTATACATTTAATTATGAATTAATATTATTTTGTTCAATATTCATTGTGTGCACCTTCTCGTTAAACTAGTGGGGAACTTTACTTACTTTCTTAGCTGTGCATTGCCATTTGAGCTGTAGATATATACCGGTAGATACTACCATATATTTATTTATGCCATCAGTTTTTACTGTGTGGTTCCTTTAGGTTTACCGGAATGCCATGCTTGTTATTTTGACTACTAGGGCATTGTATTTGATTTTTCAGGTTATCTTCTAAAGGAAATCAAGAAAGCTGACATCTCACTTCCAGAAATCGATGTTAACCCAGTAGCTCCTTTACCCAAACACGTCATTGCCATAATGGTTTGTTGACTGCTTTGAATGGCATTACAGATTTTTCTGCAGATTACTTTGAGTATATCCCTCTTTCCAGCTGAAATGACATGCACATTGTTCACAGGAACAGCTGCAAAGACTGGAGGTGGAGTTAGGAGAGGTCACCAGAAATAAGGAAAAGCTACAGAAAAACCTCTTAGAGCTGACTGAGTACACACACATGCTGCGCATCACTCGCAACTTTGTCCAGAGATCTGCTGAGGTAAAGCTTGCATTTGAAAGTGTATAACGAAAATAAAGTATCTTCCTTAAAACCAGTTGTGTCTTTAGCGAGAGCCCTTACAAGTACAGTATGAAGAATTTCCATTTCTGGAGAAAGAAACAATGATGGACTACAACAGCATGCAGAGACTTGGAGCCAAATTAGGGTAAGCATTTAGTCTTTAAAAATGTGGCCTTTATATTTTTGTCACATTTTCTAAAAAATAGGAAGGAAGGATCTAATAATAAGGAAGATCCACAGAGCACTGTGCACCAGTGATGTGTACATACTTACACTTCTTATGACCTTTAGTAAATGTACCATAATCTAAAATTTTGTGTTCATCTTTTGAAATTCTGTTTTACAGTTTTATATCTGGTCTGATTCATCGGGTAAAGATTGAAGCTTTTGAGCGGATGCTGTGGAGAGTGTGTAAAGGATACACCATCCTGAGCTATGCTGAAGTGGATGAGTATCTGGATGATCCTGACACTGTAAGTTTACATGTTTGTATAAAATCTAATGAAGTTGCATGTTTTTATTTGTATTATGACGTATTCTTTGTGTACATGTATTTCCTTCTTGCCAACATGCATACTGAATACAGACAAACCAATGGAGATAACTATTTATAACAAGCAACATTTTAAACCAAAGACCATTGATTAAAAATGATCTAATATTCATAACCAGGGTATATGTTAGGTCTGGCATTGACACTGATAAACGCATATTGTTTTCAAAAGGGCGAGCCCACTAAAAGTGTGGTGTTTCTCATCTCCTACTGGGGGGAACAAATTGGCCAGAAAGTGAAGAAAATCTGTGACTGGTAATTTAAAATATTTAATTTTCTATGTTATTCACGTGAGGCCGTTTTCAGTATGATGTATTGTATAATGTATAATGTATTTGCCTACAGTTACCACTGTCACGTGTATCCATACCCAAGTAACAATGAGGAGAGGAACGATGTAGTGGAGGGACTCAGGACACGGATCCAAGACCTGCACACCGTATGTTTATTTGCCATAAGGCTGCAAATTATTTTTAAAGAACGGAGCAGCAAAAGAAATTCTGAAGTATATACTTTTTTATTTTATGGCCCAGGTTCTTCACAGAACAGAAGATTATCTAAAACAGGTCCTCATTAGGGCGTCAGAGTCAGTCTACACATGGGTTGTGCAGATCAAGAAAATGAAAGCTATTTACTATATTCTGAACCAATGTAGTTTTGACGTTACCAACAAATGTCTAATTGCTGAGGTTTGGTGCCCTGTCAGTGACCTGCCTGCTCTGCGCAAGGCCCTTGAAGACGGATCAGTAAGAACTCTTCTTTGTTACAATAACACCTTAACTGAATGTACTGATGTGGTCTGCCTGAGAATAGTTTATAACAATACTGCTGTTTTGATATTTCAGAGAAAAAGTGGAGCAACTGTGCCTTCTTTTGTTAATCGAATTCCCACCAGTGACACTCCACCCTCTTTAATAAGGACCAACAAATTTACTTCTGGTTTCCAGAACATTGTGGATGCCTATGGTGTGTGCAGTTATAGAGAGGTCAATCCCGGTAAGTGGATTGTTGTGGTTACTATGTCCAATGTCCAAAAGTAATATGAATGTTTCAGATAAACTTATTACTATATTTGTGTGAATGTTGTAATTTACTTGTATGATAACCATCATTCCCAACTTTCTATTTTAGCTCCTTTCACAATCATCACTTTTCCATTCCTGTTTGCGGTGATGTTCGGGGATCTGGGCCATGGAATCATCATGGCTTTGTTTGCCTTTTGGATGGTATTTTATGAGAACGACCGCAAACTGAAAAATACAAGAAATGAGGTTTGTAAGAGTAAAAAAAATGGTTAATACAAATTTACCCACTATAAATATAAAGTGATTTATGTGGGTTTGCAGATCTGGAATACATTCTTTGAGGGGCGTTACATAATTCTGATGATGGGACTGTTTTCGGTCTACACTGGCCTTATATACAACGACTGTTTCTCCAAGTCTCTCAACATTTTTGGCTCCAAGTGGAATGTATCAGCCATGATTGAAGCTAAGATTTGGAAGTAAGTGCTAAAAAAAAAAAATTACATAAGTTATTTATTTGAAAGGACATTTCTCTAACTTCTTGGCTCTATTATGTGTGCATTTTAGACGAGAGGATCTCCGTGGAAATGGAATACTGACTCTTGATCCGAATGTTACAGGAGTTTTCACTGGACCCTATCCTTTTGGAATTGACCCTGTGAGTGATAAACATTGTACATGAATCGTGTGTGTTTCTCATTTTATGCACCATATTTCAAAATATAATATATTATTTTGCATTCATTGTTGATCATTACATGTAGTACTATGTCTGAAATATTTTATTTTTAGATATGGAACCTGGCAACCAATCGCCTCACCTTTTTGAACTCTTATAAAATGAAAATGTCTGTGATTCTTGGAATTATACACATGAGCTTTGGTGTCATCCTCAGCACTTTTAATCACTTGTAAGTATATGTTTTTCTTTTATTTATTGTTATTGCAATTATATAAAATATTTATGTTCTTAATTAGACACTTCAGGAAGAGCTATAACCTGTACCTGGTGTTTCTTCCTGAGCTGCTATTCCTCCTGTGTCTGTTTGGATATCTTGTTTTCATGATTTTGTACAAGTGGATGGTTTTCTCCGCTCAGGACTCCAGACACGCTCCAAGCATTCTCATCCATTTTATCAACATGTTCTTAATGCAAGGAGATTCTATACAGCCACTTTATGCTGGACAGGTAAGAAACATGTAGAAATGTTTTCAGTATTAGGCCACTATATGTCAAAGGGCATTAAATAATATAGAGACACTGCAAACAGAACTTGTACCAACTCTTATTTTGATTTGTCCCATGAGTTTAATCTATAGCACATTTTAATTAGTCTGTGGCAATGTTTTTAAACTGTTGTTTGTTTGTTTTTTTTTTACTTTCCAGAGTGGACTGCAGATTTTCCTCTTGCTAATTGCAGTACTCTCTGTGCCGGTTTTATTAATGGGAAAACCACTGTACCTTTACTGGCTCAACAAAGGCCATCACCGCATTGGAGCATACAGGGTAATTTTATGTATTTTGTGATATTAGGTATTTTTACGAATAAATATTAAATACATTTTACACTCTCCATTGTCATAGGGATATGAGCGTGTGCGGCATGACAGTGATGAAGAGCTGTTCCTTTTGAGGGCTCATGACATGGAGGAGGGCAGCAGTCACAGTGAAGTCTCAATGAGCGGAGAACACCAGTCAGAAGAGGTCCGGACTGTATTCATTTAATTGCACTGCAAAGAAGTGATCAACTTTAACAAAACATTCAACAGATTTGTGCTTTTTCATAGTTTAACTTTGCAGACGAGTTCCTACATCAAGCTATCCACACAATAGAGTACTGCTTAGGATGCATCTCAAATACAGCATCCTATTTACGACTCTGGGCTCTGAGTCTGGCCCATGCTCGTAAGTTATCTCTTTGACATATTTTGTTCAGATGATTGTTATTATTAAATATTAATGGCAGTCGCAGTGAGACTTCAGGCTATTCATACTCTTTGGTAGTCTGGGCCCTGGTTTTATCTCCCAAAATTCCAACAGCCGTGACTGATTAACAGTCAGAAAAACATTGAGGCTTTCATGTGGGGAAAAAAAAAGAAATAAACAAAGAAAAAACAGTACAGTGAAAATCCTCAGACTTTTGCAGTATTAATGAACAAAGCACTCAGGTAAAAGAAGATGGATTTAGTTCTAAAAGACAGCGCTCATCTGTGTCCAGTGCATCACCTGATTCAGCCAAAAGGGGAATCTATAAATGCTGTATTATGTTTGCCACTATTGTCTATTTCTTCTCTGAGCAATTGGGCTTAATTCTTTGTATTGTCTGCTTCTGCTCAGAGCTGTCGGAGGTCCTGTGGGCTATGGTGATGAGAGTTGGACTCAAAATGGATACCAGCCTGGGGGTCTTGTTTCTGGTGCCAGTGTTTGGTCTCTTTGCAGTCCTCACAGTGTCCATCCTCTTGGTCATGGAGGGCCTGTCTGCTTTTCTTCATGCTCTGCGACTGCACTGGTAAATTAAACATGATATAATCAACAATTCCCTGCTGTATTTCAGTTCACTCTGTCTTTTTAATATTTGGTTCCTCAATCCTTATTTTCTTCAGGGTGGAGTTTCAGAATAAGTTCTACAGTGGAAGTGGAGTCAAGTTTGTACCATTTTCCTTTTCATTAATGCCATCTAGTTTTGATAATGATGGCCTATTATAAAATAACTTTACTTATAGGCACCAGGCCAGTTTTTAATGTCAGGTATGGGATTATAATTGGGTGTAATGGTTTGTAAAGCATAGAATGAATTTCCCCACGGATCTGATGTCTAACAACATAGAGTATTTTTGATAAAGTATTTTAATTACACTTTTTTGATTGATTATAAAACCTTAGTGCCTGCTTTCAGAAATTCAACATTCAACACTCCCTTTATGATTGTATAGAAGAGTTAATAGAATAATTTGTTTTTCATTTTCACTTAATTATCCAGTTTATTCAACCTGTGCTTGACCACTTTGCATCTTGTTTTATTGTACAAACGTATGTGTTTTTCTTAATTTATTGTTTTAAAAGCTACAGTGGAATTAAAATTACATTTTATTTTGATACGGGTTTAATGGTCCATTGTTCTGTAAAAGTAAACATTAATTTGTCTTTACTTAGGAATCATCCCTCCAATCATTTATAAATGTTGTCATTTTTATACACAAAGTTCATAACATACACAATGGATTGTCTACTTACATTTGTTATCTGCACAAACCTATTTGTATGTGGTACAAATCTTGCGGTTGAACCAGTAGCTACTGTGACAAATGTGTTTTTGGGTTTGTTAAATATGACCTACTCATGGAGGTGTTTTTATTTTTATGTTAAAATGACAGTTAACTTACAGTTGCCTTGTTCTTTTTAATTATGGCCCAGAGCAAGTGAGTTAGAAATTATTCTTCTAGGAATGTAATCACACTTAGAATAAGTTATAAGATATGCCAATTTTAGGTATGATACATTTATGCTTTGATGAAATATTTTCATTGGAGGATAAGAATAAACCAACATTCCCAAATCAAGATTTCCTGAGGAAAGAAGAAAAATTATCTGAATTTGTATTTTTCGTTTCTTGAATCCACAAACTTGACATAAAACCGAACGTGACTCCTTTTATAACTAAACCACAATAATCGATTTACGACCCGTTTCAACTTAATCATGGGCCTTAGCAACTTGAAAAACAGCGATGGCCCGTACGGGGATCGAACCCGCGACCTTGGCGTTATTAGCACCACGCTCTAACCAACTGAGCTAACCGGCCTGCCTAACATTGCACCTTAAAGATCAAGTTTTTTCAAATTTAGCAAACTAGCGTTATATGCATCCTGCACATGGATTGCGCACGGTCATATGGCCTATGCTTCACTCCCCTTTGGAAATGCAGAATATCCAATTTTCCCCATTTAGCTCACTGGCGCCCTCTACTGTTGATTAGTTATAACACTGATGTAACGCTCTGATTTTATTATTATTTATTGTTATAAGATTCATACACGTTTAATGAAGAATGTATTGATCATTTTTAAAAAGCAAATAAATGTGTCATTTTGAATGATAATCAAGAGGCATGGTGTTGACAAAAGTCTAAAAGTCTTTGATCCTTGTTTGTTTTAGCATGTTCCAAAAGCACCTGTAAAAGAAAGAAAAGGAGCAAACAAATGACATATAAAACCTTATATTATAGGCTTAAATGTATTTATAGCTCACTTTGATAAGTTCCTCATCATTTTTGCCCTGTAGGTGTCTGAATAGGTACCAGCTGGCCACCTGCACCACAGTAACTGGGGCATCTTGAGATGCATATACCAGCTTCTCCAAAAAGCGCCTTGTGTCCCTTCAAAAACATACGTAGACAGACAATTTATTAAATATCTGCTTCCATGGTTCTTTTCATGACTTCAAATACATTTCAAATATGTACCGAGAAGCCATTTTGACAGTAAACTGCAGCAGGGCTTGGAAAAGTAGTGCCATGGGGGAGGAGCCACATTTCAATGCTTCACTGGTAGCTTCTTGCACAAGATCTTTCCAGTCACTTCCTGGCATCCCAGTCTTGAAGTCAGAATTTCTTTAGTTTAGCATTAGTTTAGCATACACATGCTATAGCATTTATTGCATTTGTATAAACTCACCATACACATTCTGAGGGCCAACAGTGCAAGTCTGAGAAGGCTGGCCACTTGACTGCTGTGTAGGCCGACCTGAGAAGCTACCTGTAAACTCTGCTTATAAGTCATGACTGCCGGCAGCAACAGGCCTTGTTTGTGATACACCTCAGCGAGCCACTGATAAATACAAGATAAGGAAAATTATAAAACAAAGCAGAAGAAAGCTTCTTGTCTCTTGTCTGACTTACATGCCATGCATTAATATTGGTGGAATTCATTGCCACGGCTCCATTCAGTTGCTCAATTACAGCATCTGGGAGAACAGCTGCTTCATTGGCCAAAAGGAGGCGCTGGCACTGCACCTGTCGCAGTGACAGGAGTACTGCTGGGTGTTCAGGAGAAACACTTAGAACCTAAGACGAAAGGTAGAAGCAAACCATTACTATCAAAGATAAGATGGCCATGAATTGTTTTAATTATTAGTATTATGTGCAAGCATGTTTACATAAATGCTATGTTGTACCTGTGAACAAAGAGCCTCTGCATGGTCTAGCTCTCCTCTGAACACTAAGCCAGTGATGGACTGCTGTAGGACCCAAGCCTCCAGCATCTGAGCCAGAGGTTGCTCAATGTTCTCCACAGCACGCACTAAAAAACCACACCACAGCAGGATAAGACACAAAAAACAAGTCCAAAAGTGACAGCACTATTACATTCACTGACCTTTTTCAGAGACAACCAACATAAATATTTGCTCTAGGCCTGTGTGACATGGAGCAGAGCCTGACAGGTAACATGCAGTGTTTTCTGTGTGACAGGCAGCCATGAGCCCAGCCCAAGCTGCTGGGTCATCTGGTAATAACAAAGATTATAAGTGTACCTAATAAGCTTAAGGCACATAAAAAATCAAATCACATCCCCATAATAGTAAAATTGTTTAGTTAAAGTTAAAGTACCAGGGCAGAGCAGCACAGCCCTCTGCATTGTTTTCAATGCATTACTCTGTTTGTCATTTCCAGAGTGTTTCCCACTTGCCAGCTGATTTACCCCACTGTGTAACAAGGCCCTCTGCAGAGAAGGAGTGAAAAGCTTTGTTGAGCCATCAGACGTGAATGTCGAGAACAAGATCAGAGGGTTGTATATCAAACGCAAACAGTCCAAAATATGATGCTATTGATGAAACAAATAAGCAACAATAAGCAAAATTGAGGTTAAATTAAGTCAACTGGAAACATCTTACACAGAAACTAGCCCAAACTTGTCATGGGTTAATTTATATTCACAATGTTTTAGTTTATTTTTTAGAGGTATTTCAATGAGTCTCTAAACCAGAGGAAACTCTATTCAAAAAACTGTCCAGATAACGTAATCTAACCTTGTTTAACTATGGATTCAGAGGGTTGGATAACGGAGGGACTACGCAGACAATAAACCACATAACCACACAATTATTACTTATTACCTTTCCGTGTGTCATACTGGAAAGGCAAGCCACATGACCAGCCATTGCTCCACCCTAAAACATTTTAGATATAAGATTTAAAACAACCATCAAGCTATGTTTAAAAATTAACACGATGGATGGACTAACATTTGCTTTTTTGGGAAAGTACTGTGGTACTAATCTAGACAGAAAAGCCCACAGAGCTGGATTTCCTGGGTTTCTACAAGATAAAAACATTGTATTGACATTTCGGAGTCTAAGAGAAACAAAATTGATGTAGAGGAAAATGACATGAAACTTACCTGTGTATAGCCCTAGAGGCCTCCCTCTGGACAGCACTAAAGTTGCCTTGCAAAGCCAACAGAGTGCACGTGAGCAGACAATGCTGCTCTACAACTGTCTCTGTAGTTGAGTTTTGTTTCAGCAATTCAGCTAAAGCAGCTGCTGCCAGGGTCGTGTCATTCTGAACTAAGCCCACGGCACAAAGACACAGTAAGGACTCTGGGATGGGTTCCTTCAACAATGAGCTATACAAGGAAATATTTAATTATTGAAACAAATATTATGACTTTACCAATAATAAGTAGGTAATATACTAAAAATACCATTTAAACAGCAGTGTCTTAGCGGAGTCAACATTGCCTTGCAAGTTCTGCAACAAGGCCAGGGCTGTTAGGATGTATGCCTTCTCTTTTTCATTGGAGGCCACAGATAAAGCATTTTCATAAGCTACAGACAACAGAAACAACAGAGTATGTATTTACACTAAAGTGGCTACAGTGCAACAAGACTGACTATGCTGATTTACCATTAACGCTCTCTGGGATGAGGCCTGCTCTACAGTAAGCCAGAGCCAGGCCTGCCAAATCAATGAGCTCTTCCAGTGGAGTTGACTTAAAGACATGTACAGCCTCTTCCCACTGGCCTGAGGAGCTGAAATATGACATATTTAGGCCAATGGGTTTTCCTGAAGATACTGTTTCCTTTAAATAGTTGTATATACAGCCAAATGTTACCATAAAGCACGGCCATAGTTGCTCAAAGCAAAAGCATACATTTCTCCAGATGTTAACTGAAGAAGTTCAGCACCTCTTTGAAAAAATAACAAATGACAAAAACATTATTTTAAAACAGTGAACACTAAAGAACAGAGTATGTTTTGTGCCATGTAAAAATATATATTTGAAAATGCACCTTTGATATGCTTGAAGGGCTTGTCTCTTCAGATTCAGATGCTCATTTAAAAAACCCAACATTATAAAAGCTTCAGGATCAGACTGGACTCGCTCTGTTGTAAACATATGCCACTCGCTCAGTGACATTTATCTAGACAGAATGATTGATCAGATATGTTGTATACCTGTGTATTTGCTCAGGGCCACCTGAGCAGCAGAGACAGCATTCATCTGAACAATGTTGTAGCGATACAACTCAGAGTCTCTGTTGTTTTTATCCAGTAAAGTAGAACACACCCAGTGGGCATAACCTTTCACTCCCTCCATCTGAAAAGCATAAAAACACTGAAAGAGTTCTGATTTTGATATTGAAAAGGTTCCGTTTCCACTCACCTGTGTGCTGAGTTCAGTGGTGTGTCTGAAAAGATCCATGGTGTCATAGCTTCCTACTTTCTCTGCTATCATAGCCTAAACATGGGAAAATTAACCAATGAAACAAGGAAAATGAAATGTCTACATAAGAAATATAGCCCTATATAATTTTGTTTTATATTGGGTAAAAGGCTATTGGTCAGGACCTGTCCAATCCAACAGTCAACATAAAGTGGTTCCAAAGACTGTGCAATTTTAAAGGCTTCATGTGCAAGCTAAAAAAAATACAAGATTAAACATTAATACAGTTAAAAACACAATAAAACAATTTTTTTTTACAAAACAGTACCTCTATGTTATCTTTCTTTAAATACAGGGCTCCCAGGTTTGTCCAAGCCACAACATTCTATGACAAATTAAATAACATCTAATATTTTCCCTTGTCATAAATCATAGCAAACACATGGGTGTAATACATACATTTTGCTCAGCTTGGACGGATTTAATAAAACAGTGTTGAGCCAGTGCAAAGTTTTCAATACCTGTTAGTAGAAAATTTGTTACATTAACCATATACTGGTTACATGAATAACAGTTTAAATATGACATTAGACAAGATAATCAAGTGTGTCAGCATTACATTTATACCTTTACACACAGAAATCACACCAAGTGCATTCCAGTAGATGTAGTTTCCACTATCCATCATAATGGCTTTTTTCACACACTGAGAAAGACAAAAACGGCTTTTACAAAAGATAAATTCAACTATTGGACTTGCACATTTGGTCCACTAACATACCTGCTGTGCCTTATCCAGGACTTGAGTTTGAGTTTCATCTCCTTTTGCGGAAGGAATCAAATGGGCCTGTTTCTGATAGTTCAGACCTAAGTCATGCCAAAGACTGGCAACATCAGGCATAAGCTTCAAAGCATGAGAATAGCACCTGTATACAATGAAAAACAATAGTGTTGACAAATGTAGCTACACCAATATTTGTAAAAACAACAGCCCACACATTGCCATACCTCTCACCAACTTTAATGGTCTGCCATTGGTCCAGGATTTGGTTCTGCTCATTGTGTGATCCACACAGTAAAGCTGGCATCAGGACCTGTGCTTTGTTAGGAGACACAGTGCTCACAGCTGTACAGGCATCTCCAAGCAACTTCCACAGACAGGAAAGATCTGGACGCAGCTTCACCGCTCTAATGGCAAAAGTAAAAAATATGTTAGACAAAAAAAATAATAATTGGCATAAAAAGGGTCGTTCACACTAACTTGCCTGAAAAGGTTATGTATTGCTTGCTGAAGCAGATGTATAGCTCCTCCATCTCTACAATCTTCAAATAATGTTTTAGCCAACAAGAGCTGACACTCCCCCAGACCTACGTACATATTGCATGCAGTTAAGTCTTAAGAACATTATGTAACGTACATCATATAATTTCAGGTATTTTCTACATCAAAAAAATGACCTTTTAAAGCTGGAACATAGTCTTGTTGTGTTGTGATCTGTATGTACTCTGCAGCCGCTTCCTTAAACTTGCCAAGGGTCTGTTTGATGGCAGCAGCCTGGTACACACTGTAAATAGATGAGGGCTGCAGCTGCTGAGCTTTGGTAAAAGCTTTGAGAGCTGCTGTGAAACTCCTTCGATTCAAATAAGCTTCTCCCAGACATTCCCAGCACACCCAGTCCTCAGGATCAGCCCTCAGAGCAGCTTGGAGACTAATAATAATCAGCAAACGTAAGCAACAAAATTAAAACTACATAAAGCTGAGCTACAGCCTTAGTCAAGATAAATCTTACTCTGCTATAGCTTGTTGGTGCTGTCCAACTTTTAGATAGTAAAGCCCTCGCCTCATCCATGCCCATTTAGCTGAACCCGGAGTAGCCTTTTGGATCACAGACTGAAGAACTTCTAAAGCCATGTCCTAGAAAGGTAATTTCACAAATAAGTCAATTTTATACAACTGTTAAACGTACACCATTCTGGAAATTCTAGTCTACAGTAATAGGAGTGAGTTTACCATATGTCCTTGCTCCATACAGAGATCTACAGAGGCAGCGCCAGACTCTGCATCATCATTATTTAACTCAAAGGCTTTTTTGTAACAGCCACGAGCACGGTTGCAATCATTTGCCACTTCTCGATAGTAATGCCCAAGATAGCGAAAAGCACAACTCAGATTGGGGTCCAACTTGGCAGCCTGGCAGAAACAGTAAATATACAAGACATTTTTTACACCTTGGCACTAGCAATACGGTTTCTACTTGATCAATGTAAATTCCCCAGCAGATAGTCAGCCAATGCTGAATCAATAATGATATAATGTTAAGCGCCAACCTTGAGTAGCTGAGTATGGGCCTTGCTGCGATCTTTACGAGTCTCAACTCCCATGTTCCAATAAAGTTGTCCCAACAAGAAGTAATACTCTCCACAATCTGGGTTTTGATCTGCAGCTTCCAGAAAACTAAAACACACAAATAAAAAATAAACACAAATATAAACACTACAATCTTTAAATGCAATTGCACATTCTAAAGATCACTAGCCAATATCATTACCTTTTCTCTGCCATCTCCAGCTGACCATGTAAGACGTACGCTAGTCCCCTTAGTGCCAAGCCTTCAGCTAGATTATGAGTAGAGGCCAAAAGATCCATTGATATCTTGGGAGAATGTCCATACAAATTGAGTTATTTCTATATGAATTTATTGCAATATTTCTCTATTTATTTATTTACCTTCAGAGCTTTCTCAACCTGTCCTTTGTTAAGGTAGGCACGTCCTTTTAAGAAAACCAGCCCTGGATCTTTTTCTGAATCGGATACCTATTATTACATGTTTACAAAACAAGCATAAAGCAAAGTGTTTCAGTATAAAAAGGTAAGCGCAGTGAGTGAGAATAAACATTTACCTTTGAAAAGATCTCTAGGGCCTCATCTGCTGCTTTTTCACCTCCACATCTGACTAGAGCCTCCATCTTCAGCCCTAACAGGTTAGTCATTAATGCCTCATCTTCAGGCTTGCATGTGGAAAGACCTAATGAGTATGAAAATAAACAGATTTCTCAAATGACACTGTGGGAGCCCAAACCCAGTTTTGTAGTTTTTCATTACTGAGATAATTATTCTTATTTTGTTTGATTTAATATTTACTTAAAATGCATGAGTTTTGGTATTTTGGTAATTCTTTATGGTTAAGATGATTATTTGTTGATTATTTGCTAAGAAATCATTTGATCTATTTACATTTTTCTTTTAATTAATTATTGCTAATGTTAATCATAAGTTTACTTAAATGCCATTTAATTTTTGTATTATTTTGTGGTCTATGGCTCCATATTTAAGGCTAGTGCAGTTGCACCAATTGAGTGTGGAGTGGAGCCAAACAGTTTTTTGACCTCCTGTCACCTGTATGTTAAAAGTTCCCCTTTTATGTATGTATTTGTATGTCCCAATTATGTGAATACTCAGTAAAGAGTTTTTAAACTGCACTTGGATCGCTCTCCGTGGATTATTTTATTTTTGAGGCATTTTAAAAGGTGGAACAAGGTGCGCAAAGCATCAACTATGGCTTCACAAATGTTTGGACCTTACAGACACCTTAAATTTCAACCAATAATATAGTTAAAGGTCCAGTATCATGTAAAATTGACTCCTTTGAGCTTATGGCCATCTTATAATATTTTTACCTAATCAAAAACATATCTAGAAAAAAAACATCTGAAGCTGTGTGTTGTTTCATTCATATATGTTTGAGTAACCCTTTATTATTAGTCTGTATACATCTCCAAAGCTCAAAATTCTCCGTTGCACCTTGTGATGTCATAAAGCTACCATACTCCAATTATGGTTTTGATGAGGTAACATCATCTGTTTTTGATAACATAGATTAGTAATAGGCCATTTAAAATACATTACCATTGGAACAAGATGTCACGCTGTCTGAGTATCTGTGCATTTTAAGATGAGCTTTGGCCAGACTGAACCATCCAGGACTGGAGCTAGTTTTCTGTAACCCTAAGTTATAGAGTACACAAATGTAATGCATAAACCTCAGATATGTACACTTCTATCTGCACACACTCACCTTTGTCAAGATGATTAATGGCATCTTTATACTTTCCATCATGAAGTGCTTTGGTGCCCAAACCTAACCAAGGTAATCCACTGCCTGGATTTTTATCCTGGAGTAGAGTGAAACACCTTATGGCTTCATCACTGAAGACTCCTGAAGAAATAGTTTAAATGTACAACATTACAATGATTAACACATCAGACAATACTGACTGACTAATTTTACCTGTTGTGAGATAATAAGAGCAAAGGACCTCAAGAGGATAATTTTCAGATGGGTAAAGAGAGGCCATGGTCTCACAAGCTTCTTTCATTTGAGCCATTCTTTGTGGCATCTAAAAAGTAAAAAGTTATGCGGACAAGGATGAACAGATTTAAAAATGATTTAAAGATCTAGTGCCTTAGTTCTAGCTCTCATACACTACATTATGGTATTATTATGGTAAGGTAAAGTGCTTACTTTTGAAAGGCAGTTAATTAAGTCGACTGAGGCTTGTTTGTGGTCCTCCCCTGGGACAGGATCCACAAGAACCAGGGCTTTTTCAAACGCCATTACTAACTGAAAACAAAAGATAATTAAACTTTAAACCTCCATGTTTTTATTATTTGGCATTTATTAAAGATATCACAAAAAATCTCTTACATGCAGTTGGGTTTCATCATTTGGCTCTCCTTCACTAAAGCATTTGCTGAGAAGTTTGGACATCTGCTGCCATAGTTGGAGCAATTCTTTCTTATCCACACCGTCTTCCTCCTTAAGGTGAATGTATTGAGTCCATAGTTGTGCCAACTAAACTCAAAAAGACAAATGTAAAAACCTCCCATGCATTCTCTTAATGAATCATTTAGTTAATGCATTGTCTTATACAGTATACCTTTAAAAATTCTTTGTCAGACTCGTATATTTCAGACAGTTTTTTGATGATCTCATAACATTTATTTCTATCAGAGCTGTAAAAAAAAAATTAAAATAAATAAAAAATCAACATAATAACATTATGATTATGATTATGATTGACTGCTATACCTTAAGTACAGCTCCACTAGTTTCTCATACACACTGGGCAGGTCCACTTTAAAGTCCCATTGATCTATCTTCTCATATAGGTTTGCCAAGCCCTAAAAAAGTGTCCCACTGAATTACAACATCATCTATATAATTATCGGCCAGGACAACAATGAAATATACCCAAAATAGGGAAATATACGCAATACATTTTTTTTTATAGTTTGCCTGCACATAAGCCACTTTAATAATATATTGTTGCAGCATACCTGCCATGCCAATAGCTGATCGGGCTCCAGCTCCACAGCCTTTTTGTAAGCCATCTGAGCTTGATCTGGCTGTTCAAGTTCAGTTGCTGATAAGCCAATGAACACCCAGGCATTGTAGTTGTTTTTCTCAATTTTCAAAACAGCCTTAAAATAGAGCACCTATGAGTGGTTCATTCGTAGATCCTTTATATATTATAAAGATAATTTATCTTACCTTGCAGTGTTTAAGAGCTTCTTTAAATTCTTTGTTTTTAATGGCATCCCTGGCACTCTTCAGTGCAGATTTCACTTCTTTAGCTGACATTTCAAGTTACCTATTAATGTGGGAGGGACAAACAACTAAGGATTTTCCATACCATCATGCAGTCTATGATACCATCACAGCCAACGCTTTCTTGTTGTTACACTGCATTATCAAATGGTTGGGGTTAACATAGCATACAATATTAAAGTCAAAATCAGTGATCAAAATAATTATTAAAATTAACTTAAAGCAAATTAGCTGAAATTCCAAAGTCTATAGGGAACACTACCGTTAAAACTTGATATAAGTAAAGAATACATGCCTACATAATCCACACTTTTATCCTATGACAAAATGATGCAATTTAACTGTTGTTTTTATTTCTGCCGATTTGCTAGCATATTTAGCTATATTTTTTAGCCCATTTTAGCACAAGTAAGGCCACAGTTAGCTTGAATATTCGGGTTATATAATATGGTTCCATAAAAACATACGAGGACCCACGTAGGCTTTTCGCTTAAGACAAAAATTACCTTTTAAGCATGTAGAACAGGGAAACTTCAACTCTTTAGGATAAGATTTTTTTTTTGTTTTTTTTCCCCCTGTGCTGCAACCCGGAAGTAGATCTGGAAGGAAGTACGTGCGCGCGTCATCCATAATAAAAATGTAAAAAAAAATTGTTTATCTTATTTTAAGACTCTTATAACTATGGAACTTTATTATAGATCAATAACATTAATAACTCTAAATAATAAATACAAAACATTAAGGTATTTAGGAAAATAGTTTATTTTTGTATCCAAATAAATGTTATCTTTATTTTAAATCTTTACAAATATCTTTGCAATACTTAAATACTGTGCCATAGAGTTATTTAAAGCCATATATCCACTGATCAATTGCTTTTTCATTTGCTTTTGAATCTTTCTGCCAATCTGTATGCCACCTGAGATTTGCAATGACTTGGCTGTAATTTCCTCCAAGGCTATTTCTCCAAGACGTAAAAGCTTTTTTATTATATTCATGGACCCTGTCAGAAACCAAAGGATAACTTACTATACTGCATAAAACTTTGTCCAAATGTGCCCTCACATCTGGGAATTTAAAAATTATATTATGTAGCTCTTCTGGGTCCTGTGATAAATCTACAAAATAAAAGATATTACGCATTTTTGGAAATAAGCAGTGTAATGCATATCATTATCTCTCACCAAACTCACCAAAAAGCTGTGGTGGCAGCTGCTGACCATCTGAATATGTGATGTACTTCCAGTGGCCAGTTCTTAGCATGTATGTGGAAGCATTAGCATTACAACCATGATATTCACTAAAGATCCAGTCTGGGTGTTGATGATTGTGGAAACCATGGGACTTGGACATGAAAGGAAGAAGGGAATAGCCACTAAGATTGGCTGGGGCTGAAATATCAGCAATTTCTGGAAAAGAGCAGAATGTTTTTTTTTCTCTCCCTTGAATGGTTTAAACTCATTTGACTGTATTTCATACTTAGAATAGAGGGATAGAGGTCGACCAGTGACACCAGTTGATCCACCAGAAGACCAGATTTAATGCCAGGCCCCATGAAAAGGAGAGGAATATGAACACTGCCTTCAAACATGGACATTTTGTAGAACTGCCGGTGCTCCATGGCTAACTCTCCATGATCGGCAGTGAAGATGACAATAGTGTTGTTAAGCACGCCAGTTTCTCTTAGTGATGCAATTATCTCCCCTGAAAAAAACACAGGGCATTTTATCCCAGTTTGTTTTTATAGTCAGTTTTTTAAGCATTTGAATTGTTCTGAATACTGACCAAGCATAGCATCTGTCTCAGCACACATGGCATAGTAAAAAGCACGAATCCTTATTATTTCCTCCTTTGTAAAAACACTACTGCAATTTTTGGTGACGGTAGAGTAATAGTCAACTGGATGCATATCAGAAAAAGGAAGCCATTTTGGAACTGAGATTTGATCAGAAGCCACCTATGGACAATATATATTTAGATTTAAGTAACTTGTCAATTTAATATTTTAGAATAATAGTAGTATATTTAGGTTTCAAAAACCTTGTAAGTTCACAAAGTTTACCTTACTTAACCAGAATGGTGAAGTGCGGAAAGTAGAGCCCCCAGCTGTGGGCCCAAGGGATTCTGTTTTATAGGGGTGGGGTAAGTTAAGACCAAGATAAAGTGCAAAGGGTTGGCCAGAGGGGGAAGTCCTTATAATCCATTGTTTAGCCTTTCTTGTGTTCTGCCAATCCGTCCTCTGTATTTCCACAGTTGACATGTTACCAACTAGATCAATAACAGGGCGGCCCTCTTGACTCAAAAGAAGTTCAGCATCTCGTGTCCAGGCCTCTACGCGATTACTGAGAGAATACAACATGGGAACAATATTCAGATTAAAAAACAAACACAATGTCTAGCTGTTGCCTTTACTAGTATACCTGAGAGAGTGACTTCCAGAGATGTAGTCTATCTTGCCTATCATTTTGGTAGTATATCCACTTTCCCTCAACAAGTCCATCCACGTTGTTGATTTGGCCTCAAGACACTTGAAGTTGTTCCATGACTCAGTGCGATGTACATACTGACCACTCCACATTACTTAATGTCAATCATAAAACAACCCTCTAATAATTAATTAATTAATTAAGAAAGTAATTAATATTATCTTTGAACTTCTTGTTAAATAATGCTTTACCTGCTCTTGAAGGGCAGCATATGGGAGAGTTACTGTAGGCGTTCAGGAAGGTTGTACCAAGTTCACGGAGATAATTTATGTATGGCAGCTGTACCACTTGGTTTTTGAAGGTCAGTCTTCCATCCTGTGTAGAAGATGCAGCTGCGTAAATATATGTCAATATGAACCTAGACATAGTCCAACACAATGTTAAACAAAACCGAAGGTGCACTACGTAACTTTTCTGGTGGGAAGTGAAGGATTGGTCAGCTGTTTGTTTCCATCTAGATGATATTGGTTTGCTCGGAATGCTCCACATTAAACGTATCTCCAAGAGACAAGCAGTTGATGCCATCAGGTCAAGTTCAGATGTTGTTTTCTCAAGTAATAAAAACAGCTATGTGATGAAATACACGATCAATTTAATGCGTACTGTAACGATTTAATGCCGTACTATGGAGCATTTCAGGCAAAGCAAGAACTCCATGACATGATGAAGTTTAGCCTACATAGATAATCCACCAGAAAAGTAACACAGTTGCATACCTTTAATCACACAAATAATTCAGCAAAAATTGTGAACGAATTAATACTTACGAATGCATCACTCATAACCATAACCATATTAGGCCTATTATTTTCAAGATAGCAAAAACGTAAATCGTACATCTGAAACAAAATAAGCAAAGTAACTGTTAAACTCATATTTGTATCAAGGCACTATTGCAATAGTTGTAAAGTATTAGCTATACTCATGGATCTATTAAAATAACTATGTCTCTTTTGGAAATAAATGGCACGAAAACAAAATGTAAACTTCCGGGTTACGACATTGTGTACTGACTATATAAAAACAGTAGATGGCGTACTTCACTTAAGAAATGATCTATGGTGGTTAGGGATCGCTTTTTCTATGAAGTAGTTCAACAAGTGGTTGTGGCAATGGCCGAGAGGTGGCGCTTTATGACTGTGTTCTTTGTGCGTCTTTGTGCAAACAAACTTTGTATTTCTACTATGCATAGTTTAGTGTATTGCAAATGCGCCAAGTGGATCCACATACATATCTACAAATGAAAGGATATTGTGCATTTTGGAAATAGGCCGTGTCTCTCTCATCAACTAAAAGGCTGTTTTTATTGTTTTTTCTTGAATAGGCTTGCTATTAGACAGATATGCAGTGTATAGGTGTGTAACATTCATGGTCTTTAGGAGAAAATCCTCCACTTTTGGCATGGCAAATATCAGTTATATCAAAATATATCTGTGAAATGGGCAAAAGTCCTCAAAATATCATCTACAAACAGAACGCTGTAAAACAAGAATATGGGCTCGCTGACATGTATCCCATGGTGGAGAAGAATGCGCTCAGTTCTGCTGTAGAATGTGACCGCAGCCTTAAAGCTCGGCCCAAAGTTCCCATCTGGCCCTGAGCCACAGCTCTGTCTCGTTCCAGAAGGCGGAAGGAGGGGGCAGTGGAAGTTGCGCATGCGCTCAAGGTTGTTTTTCACTCAGGCAGTAGCTTAAAGTGACTGGGCTACGGGGGTTTCCTTGTCTTTGACTGGAGACCAAGCTAGAGACAGGCGAATGATAACAGCATCCAGTGCTGTTATTGAGCCTTCACACTTCAATGAACTGCTCTCAAAGAAACCACTGATCGTGCCTTCTGCTCTGCAGGGCAGAGATCAGTGTCTCAATCTGCACCATCTTTTTTATGAGATTCTTTTTCAGACTTTTTTACTCCTAGCTCTGTGTAGCCTCTTCCTTTTCCACCATGGTGCTAGGAAAGGTAAAGAGCTTCACTGTAAGCTATGACTGTCTCAATGACAGTAATGTCCCCGTTTTCTCAAGCGGGGACAGTGTCTCAGGGAGAGTGATTATTGAAGTCACTGGAGAAATCCGCGTGAAATCACTCAAAATCAACGCAAAAGGATTTGCAAAAGTTCGTTGGACTGAATCAAGAAATGCTGGATCCAACACTGCCTACACACAGAACTACACAGAAGAAGTGGAGTATCTAAATCACAAAGACATCTTAATTGGACACGAAAGAGGTAAGAAATTTGTCTTTATGATGTGGTTTTCCTCTGAGGCTCTTTGTGTTAGAATGTGCTATTGGAAATGGTTAAATCCCCCCTTTTTGACCATTTCTATCATAATTATGGAAGTCTTTTTAAAGAGTAACAGAAGTGCCCCAATTTTCCATTTAAAATATAAAGGATAACTTGAAAGGCATTGTTTTGAGGCGTTGATCCATTGTCGCTTGTTGACAAGGTGTCAATGAATGACAGCTTAAGGCGCATATGAAGCTAATGAAATATTTGATACGTTTTCTGATAGGATGACAATATATTGACCTTAGAGCAGTTTTTATGTATATTTACAAATAAATAACCATATAGATTAGTATGTTTCTTTGTAAGGTTGCTTAAGTTTCCACCCATTGTTCAAAGCGGTTTAATCCTGTTCAGAAAACTGGACCAGAGACAGGCGGAGTTAGACGCAGGACCCTCCTTCCTCAGTGCGTTCATTGGCTTTGGTGCTCATGTGTGGATAGTGACATCACTCTTTGCGGACAGAAATATCTGCAACTTTTTGAAAAACACCTGCAAAGTAAAAGTCAGACAGGCTTCTGTAGCATTTTGTCGCATTCGACCTTAGGCTTCCTTATTCTGCTTAGTGTATTGATCCATGGAGGCACAGGACAGATTGTATGGGAGGCTTAGTGTTTAAATCTCTCATTGCACCTCTATTTTATTGGTTTATAGGTTTTCTAATGGTGTGCCTATAGGTTTATACCTTTTTATTTATCTTTTTGATTTATCTTGTACATTTTACATTGTCAATTCGTGCACTTGGTTCATGCCCAGACTTGTTTTTGTATGAATGCTTGATGTTTAAATTGTAATACAAGCGCCTTAATTGGTTATGTATAAATGAATACTGGTATCGTTGTTCGCAATGATAAAGAAACAAGATGTGTAGTAAAAATAATTGTGTTTTTATGTTGTGCGCAAACTGGCGGCGCATAGTGAATGCGTAATGAGCACAGCGGCTGTGGGAGCTGCTCGCACCGGTTTAGGCCGGTCTCCTCCTGCTGGAGTCTGGCTTTGAGTGACAGCTCTGCACTTGTTTACCACTCTGCCTGGCTGTCGACGAGGGAGGGAGAGTGCTGAGATAGCAAAAGCACACCGTGTAGCTCTAAAATCATCGAAATGACCAATATAATGAATGAAAATAATGTCATAATTGTCAATCAAACCCGTTTCAAGTCACAAATGAAAAGCATCAAGGCAAAATGATTGATTAAAAACAAGATTTACCAGTATTTATTTCCTTCCAGATGTTTGTCGTTATCCTTCAGTAGTTTTATGCTCACCAGTGGGCTAGATAGTTCAAATACATAGTTTATGATTTTCTGAAAAACGATGGGAGACTGATAAGCTCAATGAGCTGAGGCTCTTTACAATAAGCTACTTGTTACAGAGATATATCTTAGTAAATTCTATTCTCTTTTTTTTCTTCCCCCACCCTGTGTCTTTGATATGGTTTTCAGAGGTCTCCGTAGATCATTGTGTCCAGGTATGGTATGCAGATGTTTGGAATATTGTCCTACTTCTTTTTCAGATGATGACAATTCTGAAGAAGGTCTCACCACTATCCATTCAGGAAGACACGAGTATGCATTCAGCTTTGAGCTTCCACAGACGTAAGTACAATATGTAATTATTATTTGATGTCTGTAATGTTTGGTGAGTAGCATTGTTCTGTGCTATGTCTGCAGACCCCTGGCTACCTCCTTTGAAGGAAAGCATGGCAGTGTGCGATACTGGGTAAAAGCAGAACTCCACAGGCCATGGCTCTTGCCCATGAAGACCAAGAAGGAATTTACAGTCTTTGAGCACATTGACATCAACACTCCTTTACTGCTGGTAAGCTTTTATACACTGGTTGTCCGAAGTACTTTGCACCATTAGTTGAAAAACAGAACGTAATATTAATATTATTAATCTTGTTTTTCAGTCACCACAGGCTGGCACAAAAGACAAGACTCTTTGCTGTTGGTTCTGCACCTCAGGTCCTATTTCCCTAAGTGCCAAAATTGAGAGGAAAGGATATACACCAGGTAAATGTATTTTAAAAGGTGTTTTTTCCAAACAGCTTCATAGCTCCATAACAAATTCATTGCAAATACAGGTTATTAACCCACATTTTCCTTATTCTGAACCATCTAGGAGAATCAATCCAAATTTTTGCAGAGATTGAGAACTGCTCATCACGTATGGTGGTGCCCAAAGCGGCCATTTACCAGACTCAAACCTTCTATGCCAAAGGAAAGATGAAGGAAGTCAAACAGCTTGTGGCTAACCTGCGTGGCGAGTCCCTCTCCTCTGGAAAAACTGAGACTTGGAATGGAAAGATGCTTAAGATCCCACCAGTCTCTCCTTCTATTCTGGACTGCAGCATTATCAGAGTGGAGTACTCTCTGATGGTAAGTCAGATGCTTTTATGTTTCCCCAATAAATGATCAATTAAAGTTTGAAAAGTAATATTTGCCACACACTGAGGTGTTACTGGTAGAGGACATTGACTCAGCACCTCATTATCAGATCTGGGCCTCAAACTGAAACAGGTGTTCTCTCCACATGCTGTTAAGAGCATTAGCCCAGAATATCAGTGCTAACACCTGCCTGGAGGGTGCTTATAACCACTTTACCCTACAAACTGACAGCCATCGCACTAGAGCACAGACTTGCATAACCAACCTGACCTCTGCTTGGTGACCTACATAAGAGTGAACATTCTGATCAGCACCATACTTACATTACCCCTAACTCTCTTCTGTGCATGTGAGTTTGATACTAATAATTTATCTCTGTTTAGGTGTATGTGGACATACCTGGTGCGATAAACCTGTCTCTAAACCTGCCCCTTGTTATTGGGACCATCCCGCTCCACCCATTTGGCTCTCGCACCTCCAGCGTCAGCAGCCAGTGCAGCATGAGTTGGCTGGGCATGGGGCTGCCTGAGAGGCCTGAGGGTAGGTTGGCAGGGGTAGTTTAAAGTTTAAGCAAACAGTTATTTCGTCTCATTTTAACACATAATTTGCTTCTCTGTTCAGCCCCTCCGAGCTATGCAGAGATAGTAACAGAAGAACAGAGGCTGGCTGTTCCAGCTGCCCGTGAGGAGCTTGAGGGACATCTGTTTGCCTACATTCATGAGTTTCGCTTTCAACCCCCTCCACTTTACTCTGAGGTAGGCACACTGTTACGTTAAATAATATCTTTTTTAAAAATGTGTTTAAAATGCAACCCTTTTTTTTTTTTTTTGGTCTTATTTTTAGATTGATCCAAATCCAGATCATGCCAGTTGCACTGAAGAGCGTAGGTTGGACAGCTGTCCATCACGTTGATAGTTAATACTGAGTTTCCCTGTTGGATTCGGGGAACTAAAATAAACCTGTGTGCAAAGCTCAGCTTTGTATAGTTCTCCATGACAGCACTCAACCTGGCCTCCAGAGACGTATCCCACCATCCAACACAACATGGACTTCTCACAGCTGGTTGTATGGACAAACCTATTCCAACCTTTCCTTTGAAAGAGGAGCAGCCGTCTGTTTGGGTACAGCTTTGTGGAGTCAAACTGCTCACAGTGGGACATGTAGGAAAACCCCACTAGTAGCACGAGCCTCAGTGGTTGAAGAAGAGGAAGACCCATAGGGCTCAAGTCTGCCAAGCTTTTTCCCCACTTCTAACTTTTGGCACATATGGACTCACTTCCAAAGACAATGGGGTCACACTACTACGCTCAGAATGAAAGCATTCATTGGCAGTGGTTGACAGCAGAGATATAAGCCTCCTGCCTACTTTGGGAATTTTTTTGCACATTTTATTCTTTACTTGAGTTTGTGACTCTGTTTAAGGATAATGAAAATCACTATTAGTTTGGTCTTGTAATGTACCAGACTAAGACCGCAAACTTAACTTTTTTGCATCATTTTGATCATAAGAGAGAAAATAAGACTGAAAAAGACATGAACAATGCACTGATTTTTTGTTTTGTTTTTTGTTTTGTTTTAGGTGTTAAAATACATTTAGTTTTTTTTTATAACACATTACAGCTATATTGGATGTGGACTAAACAATCAAACATAACATTCTCTCACTCTTAGATGTTGCTCCTATTGGTTCCATGTATAATATGGCTTATTTAGGTTATTTTAATGAGCCCTGCCATAGCTTCATTTATACTTAATTGCTTTTAAATTGTATTAATGAAGTGGCAGCATTGCATTTTTTTTCTTACTGTACAATTTGCAATGACAGGTGGTACATTGGAGATGGATGTACAACCTTGATGCAAGAAACCTCCAAATCACACAAGAAACAAGTCTTGTGTGTCTACCCTAAACTTTGACTCCTTTGCCAATTGAATAGAAAATAAAAAGAAACAGGTATTTTAAATTGCACTGCTCATAATCTCCCTATTAGACCTGCAGAAAATGATTGGCAGCTTTCGAAAGAATCACATTCCCTTTTTGTCCTGCTGTACTTGCTCATCTCATCCATACTGCAGTGTTTTACTAAACCACTGAAGCCAGAATGCTTACTATAAAACAAAACACACAGAAGCAAACTCATGTCCAGTAAAATTGCTGTGATAATGCTAACTGTCTGGTCAGACTGGTCAGAACAAGTAGAAGTAGTTCTTTTAGTAGTGTAGTAGGTTGAAATGAGTAATACATTGGTTTTCTAACTCTTTCAACACTTAAGACCAGCTGCATCAGACAGAGCAAAAATGAGAAGTAGCACTTTTTATATACAAATGTTAATAAGTAAAAGTAAGCAGTCAATGGTGGTGTGGAATAAACAAAATCCTGCTAAACATTTTATAACATTAGAATTCTGCAGTCATGCCGCATTGTGTAGTATTGCTTTAAACTCTTTTTTTATATGTACATATATATGTGTGTGTGTATGTATATATGTGTATGTATTATTTTTATATATATATATATATATTTATATATATATATGTATGTATATGTATATATATATATATATATATGTATATATATATGTGTGTGTATATATATATATATATATATATATATATAATATATATATATATATATGTGTGTGTGTGTATATATATATATATATGTATATATGTGTGTGTATGTGTGTGTGTGTGTGTATATAATTACACATATACATACACACACACACACACACACCCCACATGAGTTTACATTTAAAATGTAGTTCATACTTTGTATGTGCTGTTTGCATACATGCTTGTAACTAACCTCACAGCTTCTCTGCTCATAGCAGTGCATACTAAGTGAACTTATCTCTGTGGCCTTGATACAGAAAAGACCAGTTGATTTTTTTTTTTTTTTTTTTTTTTTTTTCTCTCACACAAATTGATAATCTGTTTTAGCTGTTGGTTTCCTGTTTGTATGTTTTGTTTAGTTTTGTTTAGTTTTTTTGTTTTAGAGTTTCCATGTTATTTATGAGGACAAAAAGGGAAAATGGCAAATATTCCTTGAAAACCTAGTGTTTCATGCTAAAACTTTCTGGACAGGCCTCTGGTTTTCTTGATTAACTTTTCTATTTTCCATGTAACTTGTGGGCATTCACAGTTTCTTTTTGAGATTAGCGACATAACTGAGTTAGCCTATGACCTTTGTGAAGCTCCTCAGGTCGAGGGGGTGGCAGCTGTTGACCAGCACTCTCCCCCACTGAGAATCACTTAGGTAACACAAATAGCATGTAAATTGCTTCTTTCACTTTTAATAAGTTAGTGTTTTCCTAAATCAGCTACTCTCAAAATAAGCTTCAACATTCAGGTTGCAGTTCTATAGTTTGTTTGCTTGAGTTGTACAGTGTCAAAACTAAGCTAAACTCCTGACCTGTAAGAGGCAGGACCTAAAATGTCCAGAGCAAAAGAACTGGGCAGGGCATCTGAGACATTTTAGGGGAAAAGTGCAATATCACACCTATTTTCCTTCATTCTCCATTTGTATATTTGTTTTTGTATATCTTTTTGATCTGTTAATCATGATGATGTTAAAATATTCTATGAATATACTAGGTTCTGAATGATTAAACCCTTGTCTAGTTCTTCCCTTTGATTTGAATAAACAATTAGTTTGAAACTCTGTGTATTTTTTGTTAATCTTTATTTTTAGTTAATTAGATTATACAGCTTTTTTTTTTTCAACAGAGCTAATGCTCAAATATTTTTGCCTCATCATATTGGATTAAGGTGGTCAGGGTTAGAAAGTCTATATGAAACTCTTTATTCTTTGACCCTTCCTTAAAGGTCAAACTTTATACAGCATTTGTTTTTCAAGTTTGTTGCTATTTTAGCTTTTAAGATAATAAGCCAATGATTATTGGTGTCAAGACACTTCACAAACAGGTTGTATCCTTTGTGAGGCAGGCATTACTCCCAGCCCATGTTTTGTCTTGCCTCACATGTCACATTTCAGAAGTAAAATTCAATGCTGCTGATTGATTTTACCATTACATCAGAGTTGTTCCAATTTAGTTGGAAAACTCAGAGCTTTGTGTAAGCAAGGGTATGAGCTCAGCAAACTATATGTGGCCGGATGTCAGGTCAGATAAAAGGCACAGAAGTTCTTATGAAAGCTGCAGGGATTGCGTAACAGGACTCGGACCCTGGAAACACGTGGAGCAGCGAGGGGCAGATGTGAGACAAATGCCCCCAAAGATAACACTACAGCTCATCGTTCATAGAGAAATACTGTGAAATAGACAGCTTCAGTGATGAGTCAGCAGCAGCTTTTGACCCTCCACTTCGTTTGGCTTTTGTACTGTCTCTCCAGTCCCCCTTTGACTTCTGTGGCCTGGCCTTTGTGGGTGTCTGACCTCTGTGCGATCATAAAAGAAGGAGGGATTATTATTGGGCGGGCATCCGTGCATGCGTGCGTGTCCACACACAATGTTGATTAGTAAGTGCTGACGCTACGCAGGCCTCAGCTGTTTCCTCTCACTGGATAATCCTGCTGTACCCA